TAATATGGAGATGGAGATGGAGACGGGAACCGCAGCAATTAACAAGGAGGAGATGGCACGGGCTGGGCCACGAGCAGGGCACGGGGAGATCACTCTCCTCTTGGCCAGTCAAGTGGCCAACTCTGTTGCGGCTCGCCCTGGCACTTGCTTATCCTCGCATCGCTGCATTTTCATAATAAACAAATTTTATTTTATAAATGTTCTTTTGGGCGGAGGAGAAATGAAGTCATGTGGTGGTCCCCAGGCCTGAAGGCAGTAGCCATGGATGGAGGGGATGAAGGGGGAGGACCAGTACAGGAGGCAGGATGGGATTGGGTGAGACGGAAACTAATGTGCGTTGCACTGGAAGACAATGCCAGCCACAATCCTGCTGCCCACCCGCACATCCCGCCTCCCCCGCTCACAGTTGAGCGAGCAAAGCAATTATTTATATTTTTTGGCCAACGATTTCTCTCGTGTGGCTTATGGGGGGGATTCTTGCCTGGGCCCTCCCAGGCACCCTTTTTGGGTCGAAATTAAAGTCACATATCGAAAGGACAGCCGGAGCGCGCAAGGAGAAGGAGCAACTGGAAGATGGAGAAAGAATCACAATAAAAATTTGCAGTGCACGCAGAACGTGCCAGGACATTCAAGTAGCCACGACATCCATGCATTTTATAGCCAAAAACGAAGGTTTCTGCCCGCAGACCCAGACCTGCCCGCCTTTCGCCTCGTCTGACTTTGGCCTGAAAGTAGTTTTCATTGTTTTCCCTGCCTTGGTTTTATGTCCTGGTCTGCTCCGGTCTGGTCGGGTCCGGGGGCTGTGGGCTGTGGCAATGACTGGACTGGGTCTACGGACGACGTCTGTTTTGTTGTGGCCACAAGCAACAAGGACTTCTAATTAGCACACTGTCAGCGGTGGTCAGCGACACAAGGCGGTGGCGGAGGGGTATTGTGGGGCAGGACAATGAGACGACAAATGTGCTTAAATGGTCGAGTTGTGGACGCCACTAAAAACTCAACTAAAACTAAAATTGCACTACGAAAGGACGCGAAACGGAAACCGCAAACTGGCAAATGGCTGCCACTGCTGAAGGACATTACCAGTTCTTGTTTCTACTGCTACTGCTGCTGCTCCCGCTCCTGCCCCTACCTACACCTTCTACTGCTGCTCTGTCCTTGTCAGCAGGCTCGTTACAGGACACACAGAGAGAGTATACGGGGACGGGACACGGGGCACACGTGGTTGGGGTGTTCTGTCCCATGTATATGCATATAAAGCGGCGGCTTTGAGCAGGAACAAAACCTGCAACAACGAATGAAAGAACCAACGAAAGAAAAAGCTTCTAAGCGGCTGATGTCCTGTCTGCTGTGGCTCCTGGTACCCGCTCCCGTAGTTCCCTGCTTTATGCGCTCTCCTGCACGGCCATTATTACTTGAAACTTTTGCTCGACATTCGGTCTGACTATCCCCTGGCCGCTCGGGTTTTATTTCCATTTTGATTGCTGGCGTTTTTTTGGCGTGTGGTTTGCTTTTTTCTGCCTCCTTCTGCCTTCTTCTGGCGGTGCCTCTCGTCCGCTCTGCTTCCTGCTGCCCGCAAATGTATGCAACACATTTTGTATGCAACGGCCGCGGCACCAAATCCCCATGATGAGCAGAGGGAGGGGTAGCTGCTGCCACTTCCGTGCTGGATGGCGGAAATGGCGGCGTCAGGTCGCCAGCAACGACACCCAGGGCCAAAAGTGAAATCCGAAGCGCCGCTAGAAAACACATGCAGCCGGACCGGGCCAGGATCGCGGCCAGGATATGGCAGAAAGGGCAATGGGTTGGGGCACAGAGATGGCCAATTGAATGTGTGGCTCTGGTTTCAAGTGCCGCCACTCAACTAGCACTTATTGCATGCGACAAACGACAGCAGCAGGCACACGGACACGGACACAGACACGGACACGGATGAGGATGATGGCGACTCGGATGGGGACGACTCGGATGAGGACTCTACTCTGCTCCGGATGCGGCCGCAAACTTTTGTCGTTTTTTCAATTTCAATTTTTCACTGAAGTGCCTGCTGCTGCCCCTGTCTCTCTCTCTCTCTCTCTCTCTGCCACTGTCCCTACACTTGAAGCAGTTAGCACGATGACCATCATTGGCATATCCATGTACGAATTCTCCCTACGAATCTGTATTTTCTGTACCCCCATCCCAGGCCCTTTCCAGTGCCATCTGCTGCATATGGCGCAGGCTGCAAGGGGAAGGCGTGGTGCAATTTTTGTAGAGGCTGAAGCAGAGGCAGCGAGTGGCATCAACACTACGCATACGCAGCATTGTGCTGGGGATTTTCAGTGCCTAAGCGGGCGTGAAGTCAGAAAACAAACAAAAGGGCTAAAGAAACGACCGACGGTTACCCTAGACTCATAATATCTTCAGCTGAAAGCTTCCTTGCATTACAGGTAAAACAGGGCTCGCTGCAGTTCCACTTGCTTGGGGCACCGAGGCAGGAGAGTGCAGGAGCGGGCAGGAGAGCGGCCAAGGACCCACCTGGTCCCATAACCGGCGACTGCAGATGGCAGACTGCAGTTATTACGGCCGTAAGCGTAACTGTTATCTGTTTTTGCACCCGTGTTCGTGTCTCCGTCCGTGTCGGTGTCCGTGTCCGTGTTCCTGTTTCCATTTGGGAAATTTCTGAAGTTGGTCGATTTTTTTGCGCTCTCTTCTCATAATTTAATATTTACAAAGTGGGGCAGGACGAGGCGAGATGCCAGCAGAAAACTGCAGAATAATAAAACGAAATTACTAAGGGGCCCAAGGGAGAGGCAGGGACAGAGGCAGCAGAGAGTCCGAGTGCTCCTTCTGGCAGCTGCAAAAAATCTGCGCTGTGCATTAAAAAACGCTTAGGGCAGCAACTTTGTCGCCTGCCAGGCTCCGCGTCCGACTCCACTCTGCACTGCAGTCTAGCGTCCATTGGCACTGGGAACTGGGACTGGTACTGGCACTGGGCCTCGTGCTGGTCATAGCTGGTCATCGCCGCAGGCTTCTGGCATTGTTCATTGACAGTTTGGCTACCCCACCTCCATCCTCATCCCCATCCTCTCCAGCATCGACTCTTTTCTCCGCTCCTCTCCTCACTGTGCCAGTCGTGCATTTTCAAATTTGTTTGTTTTTAATTAATTGCACGCGGCGATGGCGATCCCCTGCTCATGTGTGATGTTGGACTTTGAATGTTGGATATGAGGATGGGAGGCCGGGACTGCGTGCTGGACAGTGATTAAGCGAACTGGAATGGCACTTGGCATGCCAGGAGATTTTAGATACGAGTCCCCCAGCGGCACACCCTTGCCCAGTCCAGCCCACGGGGCGTGGCAGTTAGCGGAGCGTCGCCCCAAAGTATGCCATCAAAAATGTCGAGACTTAATTTCGATTAATTTGGCAGAGTTTTCCGCTGCTTTTCGCTCTCTTTGTGGCACAATTACCAACACCATCAAAAAACGGAATCAAATGTAATTCCTTGCCGACTTCACCACTGCCTTCCCCCTCCCCTCCCGACCCCAGCCAAACATTGGGTGAGTGTGTGTGTGTTTGCGGCTGTAAGCACTTTCCGACTGGAAAACCCTTTCGGGGCTGACAGCACGAAAATTTGCATAAATTTTAAATTTCAATTTGCAGTCGACGAAGAAAACGAAGAAAAAAAAATTATGCATTCCACGAGAAAAGAAAAGAAAAGCAAATAAAAAGGAAAGAATAGAAGCGGTGGGGGGGAGAACATGAGAACGGGGGAAAAGTTCGAGACATCTGCAGGAGGGAAAAAAAAATGCCAGAAACGAAATTAGCAGACAACAAAGAGTCCTCTATCGCCATCTCCTGTGGCGCCCCTCACACCCCTGACTAGTGAGGCAAACGAAGGACGCAATCGAAACCCTTTTTCCGAGGCCACTCAGGGAGCTGCCACATAGGTCTCTGTGTGTGTGTGTGTGGGGCCCAACGGTAGCTAACGCACTTTCCGAAGAGATGATTGGGTTGCGTTTCGTTGCCTTTAGTTGCCTTGTGCCTTCTGCTTTTTTGGCTTTTATCGAAGAGTATTCCATGCGTTTTTCCTAACTGGTCCTGTCCTGTCCTGGCCCTGGCCCTGGCCCTGGACTCTGCCTCTCCTCCTCTGTGGCTCGTTTTACAAATTCTTACACATCCGCAATAGAATCACAAGAGTATGAGCATCTGTGCATATGTGTGTGTGTGTGTGTGTGTGACCAGGCATGGCTATAACGGAAAAGGAAACAACTGGCATTGGCAGCCATACGACGTTAAGGATAATCGTGATGACAGCATATTTTGTGACCCACAGTCACTGTCCTGCCTGTGTCCCTGCCTCTGTCTATCTCTGCCTCTGCTCTGTGTGTGTGTGTGTGTGTGTGGCAAGTTTTAGGTAGACCTTCCGCTTCCATGGTTTTCAGTTTGGTGTGCCTTCGTTTCGTTCAGAATCATAGCTGTCAGTTGGTTGTCTTTAAAATGGCATTAAAAACGACCAAATAAGTTTAGAGAGACATCCAGCAGTCACTTCTGACCGCCGCCCGCTTAACCCCTGTCCTTTGACCCCCTCTCCACTCCACAAGAGCCTGAGATAAAAGGAGAGGAAAAGACAAAAACTAAACGCAATTTAAAATAAATCACAACACAAAATGCTGAGAACGCGTCTGTGATTGGTGGGGGAGTGTACGGGGGTATACGAGTGGCATGCGAGTGGGGTCGGGGTCTGGTGGGAGCTCTGATAAAGTTACACCCATTTGGCTGTGTCTTACAAGTGGGCGTGGCGTGGCATGGCGTAGCCCCGCTTCCACACCCATGTGACTGCGGATTGATATATCTGAGCGGTTTTGTTGCTTAGCTCTGGCTCTGCTCTGGCTGGATGGCTTCCTTAAAAGTTGAGGGTTCGCTTGTGACAAATGTGAATTTTATGTTGATTTCAGCTGAAGGCAGGCATAGCGAGAACTTTTGCTAATATTTCTTTTGTTTCTTCTTCTCTTCTTCAGATGTTTCTCCGGCTGCTGCTCGTCGCTCCTGCTCCTGGCTGCTGCTCGTCGCTCCTGCTCCTGGCTCCTGCTCGTCGCTCCTGCTCCTGGCTCCTACTGTTGGCTCTGGCAAATTCCAGATGAGGTAAGTGGCAGAATTTCTTGGAAGAATATTAAGTTTCCTGCTGGGCCAGCAACTTCTTGGGACGTTAACCCTTCGTTGCTTTGTGGCTGCGTTGCTTCATTGGGCTGCGTACACTACGTATACGCAACGTGGGACGGGCTCTGGGACTCTGGACTCTCTCGAGTGACCCGCTTAATTGAACTTTTGCTTATTTATGGGCCTCGTTATTTGAGTGCATTCAAGTGTTTTCAATGGGGCACGCCCCTTGCTGCTGCTGCCCCACTCTACCCCTCCATAAATTGTTAAGTTTTATCAGCCGCAACAACAGGAGCAGCGGCGGCAGCATGAATAATAAGCCAGTGCCTCGCATTGCGTGCCTGCACCCAGCGAAAGGCAGAGCCTGAAAGCCCAGTACATGTACAGCCAGTGCGGACACACACACCCAAACGAATACACGCACAATTGAAGCGGAAGTGCGCATTGTTTCCGCTTTTAATAAGACTCGTTGTTCTCTGTGGCAACAGCAGCAGAAGCAGTCGTTGGGGCAGCAGCAGCAGAAGCATTCGCTATGGCAGTGTGGCATGCATATGCTTTTGCATAACAATAAACCATGCAGGGGGCAGGCAGTGGCTGAAGCTCCCGCCATGACCATAAATTGCATTAAATTGCATTTAAATGTGTCGGACAGGTTAACAATGCGAGGAGGATTCACCGTAATTGATTGTAAATTAAACCTAACTCCAGTCCGAAACCCTTTAAGCCACGTCGCCAGCCATTATTGTGGTCTCATTCTCCTCTCTATATCTCTTTCTCTCTCTTTCTCTCTTTCTCTCTTTCTCTCTCTCTCTCTCTGTGGTGGCACGCTTTAATTTGCACGCTTTTGGAGCATGAAATGGTATAAATAAAACTTGCAATTTTCTTCGCTTTGAACGAGGAAACTTTAATCTTAGCAGCAGGCGAATTTTTGCATACACTAGGCGGAGGGTGAAGAGTAATCCACCGCCCTGTTGTCGCATGCTTGTCGACAATTAAACAAGTTCAACATTCACATTAATTTTGGCGAAAATTCTGGGCCGGAACAACAACATCCCCGACCAACATTTGCCACCTGCGGTTGCTGCCACATACAGCTCTCGCAGTTCTCACAGCTCTTACAGCTCCGCCTTGGCGCACAGTTAAGTTTTTGTGGCTCTCGGCTGGAGCTGACTATGATCTATGGCACTTGGCATGTGTGGACTCCACGGGAGGGCCCATGGAAGGGGCAGGTTGGGCGAGAGTGGAGAATGCAGATGGAAGGGGCTTACTCCCAGAGGTAGATGACTTTTGTTCGGCACTTGATTAGCATTCGCCTTAGCCATTTTATTCCCTTTGTGCCGCGTGCATCCTTTGCGTGCAGCATCCTCTCGAGCGGAGTGGAGGAGCGTGCCTATTGATGCGTGCTAATTGCGAGGCGATGCTCCTCCGCTCCCCATGCATGCAGCTGCAACTTTGCATTGAAGTTTGTGCCAAGAATAAACTCTCATGCATCGTGCTTCGGGCTTCGCTCCCTGTGTCCCCTTTCTGCTTGCCACATGGCACATTGTTATTGGGCCGGTTGCATAACAAGGAAATCCGTTTCGAGTGCGACTGGAGTCTGCACTCTTTGTCTCGGCGGCACTCTTCCGAGTTCAGTTCCAAGCTCGAGTGCTCCGACTGGCTTCGAGTGCTCAGTGTCGAGGGTCCTGCTGTCTGGACTTCTGTTCGGCGAAAAGATCTCCCAATTGGGTCAGCGCTGCAGTTAATCCTGGACAGATTTCTTAAAGAGAGAGTCCGCTGTTCCTTGGACGGGCAGTTCATAAAAGGCAGTCGACTGACAGACAGACAGACATCACTTATCAAAACGCTCAATCAATCAATCAATCAATCAATCAATCAATCAATTGTTGCCAACAAAAGGCGCACACAAAAACAAGAATATCGCTCATACGCCCATTTGTACCGACATAAAAAAAGGAAATACAGCAACAGCCCCAAATCAGCTTAGGAGAAATGGCTAAAAAAGGACAAGCCAGCAGGCAAAAAAAGCTGATATAAAGGACATATGGCATGGACCAGGACACAGCCTGATACATGAAAGCAGAACCCACGCCTCTGCCTCTGTTGTTGCCTCAGTCTTTCTCTGTCTCTGTTTCTGAATCTGGCCTTTGTGTGGCGGCTTTTATTTGTACAGTATAGTATGTAGGATTTGTAGGGGTGGAAGGAAGGCAGGAAGGCTGTGGCAGAGAGTGACCCAAAGACCTGGGCCGGAAAAAACAAGCCCATGGACTTAGGCGAGCCAACAAATCACTGCAAATCGTACAAACAAAAGCGAACAACTCTGGAAGGGGACGAGGACGGGAATATGACTGATTCACCTGGCAACAAACGTGCAACATTGTGAGCGGCAGGCCATGTCACACTGCAGTTGGGGGATGTGTCAGTGGCAGAGACAGCGACAGAGACAGAAACGGACTTGGGGGGCGCCCACCTGCAGTTCAGCTCGTTAAAGGAGTCCCTTCATGTCAGCGACGCGTCTAATAAGCCAATTCAAAGGAGTTGTCAGAAAATGATAATCGGGCACCACCAGGCTGTGGCGGTGGCATGGAATGTGCGGAAAATGTTTATCCGACTCGTGAATGGTGTGGCGGATGGCTGATGGCCTGGCGCCATCCTGCACTTGCATAAATTTATGCTTACACACATTTTGTCAACATCTGCAGCATATTCACAACTTGCCAGATACTTTTCTTCCCCAGCCACAGCCACTGCCACAGAGCCAGACCCCGCCCTTACTACACTCCACTGGGCCAACACACATCGCTGGATTGCGGTAGATATTTGCATATTATGTCTATATGCAAATCTCTACGGGAGACCAGAAGAGAAGCATAAGGGGAGCAGCAGCATTCAGCAGAGGAATACCAGGGCGTTGAAGATGACGGCGCCCACGCGGCGTATACGTGCTGCATTAACATATCAATCATATAGAGGTGGGGGCAGAGGCAGAGAACCCTCTTCCTTCCGACGGCTCCTGGGAGCAGTGCAAACATTTAGTTGATGGAATGAGCCCGAGCGCGATAAAGATGAATGAATGTTTGCAAAGATTTTGCACCGACTCGCAGCCGCAAAACTTGGCCCATAAATCCAGCATCCATTGCATGGTATCCGTATCCGCCATTCAGCGACAGCCCAACGACAGACACTCAGAACACTTCGCGCAATTGTCATGCGGTTTATTGAAAAGTTAATTGCCGTGCCACGGGCCACGGGTTACGGGTTACGGGCCGTGGTTCGGGGCTCAATAAATTAATGCCAACTAACAACATTGTCAGCGATATATCGACTTCCTACTCAACAATAGTAATTGTTGTGCTGATTGTTTAATTGCGGCCATTTTGTGTGCAGTTTCCGGCTGCCACGCACACAGACGCACGACGCACGACACACGACACACGGATATGCGCGGCATAAATAAATATTGCAATATGAGAATCAGTTTTTCAATTTTTCAGTTCTATCCTCCGCCCCCGGTTAAACAAATTAGCGGCACTGATTTCGTCAATAGGCATTTAAATCACTTCGCCAGTTGACAATTATTTGCTGCTATTTATTTAATATATTTCGATTCCGTATATCCTGCCCAGGACTCGGGGACTGGATCGTGGTATCGTGTGCCTAGTACTGGCTGCTGTTTTTCTGCTGTTTGCATATCAATGACCCATGGCCCACAATTGGCCATTAAACTGACTTTTTGCAGTTTGCTTTTATTAGTTTCATAATATTTACGCATTTGTTGGCCATAATTTGTGATAACACGGCTTTTTCATTCATTTTAAAGAGCGGCAGGCACTAGCACTTCCCTCCCACGCTCCGATAAATATCGCCGCGATTGCATCTGTGACAACAGACAACGTGGCACATGATTTATATGAGCGAAATGATGGTCCCGCATACTGCCACATTCGCGGTTTTCGCTCGCTTCATTTGATTATGGTTTTTTGTACGCTTTTCTATCACACAAAACCTTGGTATAGCAGGCCTTTAATGTCATTTAATTAGAAAATATTGGCAATTAACAGGAGACCGATTCGATTTATGCCTCGAATGAATTGCAGGCCAATCGGTAGGTGCGGGCCTCCCCACTCCACACAATGACATCAGTGTGGTGTGGTGTTGATGGGGAACTTTCCAGAGAATATTTGTGCAATGATTTCGCATATCACATATGGCAGATGGCAAGCAGACCTCAGAGCACTCGGCCAAGAGTCCGAATTGCGTCATTGCCCGCCTCGGAAACGAGTTTTGAGCTTGTTTCAATTATTTGTCACGCAAATACAAAAGCGCGGCCCCCGCTTCAGACATTGCCAACGTGGCCAACACGCGTTGACAGGGCCAGAACCGGAGGTGTAAGGCCCCAAATTCTAGAAGGGGACGAGGACCGCCCCATTACCAATTAGGAGAATTGCCGCCGCGTTCCCCACACGCATTATACCCTCACGCTGAAGAGAGTAGAGCATTAGGCTTAGATTTCTGCAACTTAAGGGAAGATTCCAAAGAGAATCTAAGGTTTCGCCTCTCCGTCTCTTTCGCTCTCTGTTCCAATTTAATGAATATGTAATGGATGGAAAAAAGTTGCCGCTTATCAGCCCCTGCTCTTGCCCCTGCTCCTGCCCCTACCCCACGCAATGCCTCTCCAATCTGCCCCAAAAGTTGCTCTACAACAATGCTTTATCAGACAGAGTCCCATCTCTGGTTTTATTTTTCTGCTGCTGGCAGCTGCTCCCGCCTCTGCATTCCTCCCTCGATTCCTGCGCCTTCTTTTGGGTGCGTCGCCATCCGAGTGCTTGCCACATCCCATGCCACAGCTACTATGCCACGTTTTTCAATCTCAACTTGTAAATGACGCTGTACTTTCGGAGCTGCATAAAAAATAATTTGATTATTAACTTTTGGGGCGAGTCGAGTCGAGTGCGGGGAATTTAAATATTAATTGAAGCAGCTCCAAGAACCCACCCCAGACCCCGGCGTGGAGCCACAGCCACAGACACGGCTCCGGGGGCCTGTTGACTCTTTAATTCTAATCCCCGACTAATCTCGGGCCGCTTCCACTACGACTACTTAGGGGCAGGCAAGGCGCAGACGAAGAACCTTTAAGTGGCTGGGGATTGTCCAATCAATTAGCGGCGAGTGGCAAGTGGGGAGAGCCGCCAGTGGCAAGTAGAAGTCGAATTATGGTGCATTTAAATGCTGTGTGTTTCTGTGTTTTATGGTTGGGGCCAAGAGATTTATGCGTCTCATAAATGTCAAAGGCAGCCGGACGGTACACGCCCCACGCACCCGCGCCCACACCTGCCACAGATCTCCGTGTAACCTTCCACACAATTAATCTTCTTGATGTCAGCTTAAGAAACAGGATGATGGAAGGGATAGGGAGATTGGAGGAAGGGTGGGACAGGTGACAAAGTCAATAATCGGAGTCCCATCACCTGCTGTGGGAATACAGACAAGTGCAAGTAGTCCTGGTGGCAGGGGCAAAGGTAGGGACGGCGACAGGGGCATTTGTAGGACAGTTCTAATAAAATATTTCATTTAAAATTTACAACTCGGAGACCGAAATGAAAAGAAGCCATATGTCAATTGCAGTTGCACAGAGTCGCATAAACAAGTGGCAGACAGTCTGCTGGATAGTCCCTGCCCCCCAAAAACCCTGCCACACACAATGACATGTCAAGTGCAAAATGCAAAATGCAAAAATGCTTCTCTGGCCGGACTCTACAGAACTTTTCGCCAATTGTTCGTCCTCGTTCTCGTTGTCGTTGTCGTCCACGTTCTCGTCTTTGCCGGATCCGGGTCCTGGGTTCGGGACTGCACCTACAACTTCCGGCCTTTGTTGAAATAACCATAAAATCAAGATAAGTTATTGGATTTGCTGGCAGGAAGCAGGAATAAGCACTTTTTGCCTTTGCCCTTGCCACTTCCACACTGCCACTGGCTCTGGCACTCTCTATCTCTCTCTTTCCGTAACTCTGGCGCTGCCAGTGACTGCCTAGGCCTCCTGCTGCCTCTTGCCTCTTGCCTCCTGCCATGGCCTTGCCTTGTGTCGTAGATTAATTGCTTTTTTTGGGGTGAGGTGCCCCCAACCCATGGCTCCCTGGAAAAAACATTTTTGTGTAATATAAATACGAATTTTTTATTTCATGCTGAACTTTTGTGTCCTGAGGATTGCCTGCTGCCGTTCCTGGTAACTGTAGCTGCCTGCGTACCCCTGGCCCTGGCCCTGCCTCAGCCCCGTTTGCTGCTCCACCCCCTGCTGGCTTTCCTTTTGCCTTTGTATAAATAGTGACGCTGCCTCACAATAGCCGAGCTTAGGGTTCCCGGGAACGAACAGCACGAACCCCCCCAGCTGGAGGCGCCGCACAATCAGTTTTCACAGTTCGCACTTGCCTCTTGGATCGCTCCTCGTTCCCTCTAGCCCCTTTAACTCCCCCTCCCCACCCCTACGCTGTGCTTGACTGTGGCTGGCTGGCGCACTAATGCGATTAAGCCGCTTGTTGTGGCTGTCAACGCGTTGACTGCCTACCTCCATCTCCATTTCTCTGGTATTCCGGCCCCAATCCGACCAGTCCCAGTCCTGCCCCAGTCGGCTGCCTTTGTAATTCACTTAAGTGTGGCACTTTGGCCTGCGGTAAACGTCGTCCATTGTGGCCCACTGTTCCCATGCACTGATCTCTTTAGCATACAGCCAGAGGGGGAAACGGCAGCAGAGGGTTCCGGGAGCAGTGAGCGGTGAGCGGTGAGAGGTTTACCTTTGGCCAACATTCAGATTTTCAGATTTTGGCATGGCTTTGGTTTAATCATAAATTTCCTGGCGGCTGAAGTGTCGTGTCCTCCATAAGGATCTGTTCTGCCATTGTCCACCTAAAGGGGGGCACAGATGCCACGCCCAAAGAGCACACGAGCGGGAGGCGGCGGTGGGGGCCGTCAAAGCGAGGACTTGGACTCCTTCTGTCAAGTGGACTTAACCTCTTAACTACATTTAATATGATGACATTGTGGCGTGTGCCTGTGCCTCCAGTTTAATCACGATATTACTGTCGCAACGGGAGGGGTGGGTGGGGAAACGTTTTTCAGACGCCCCTGCCGATCCCTGTAGAGATTCGGTCGAGGAAGGTGCAATTATTCTCTGGCAAAGGCAGTAAAAGTAACAGTCAGCGCTCTCCCAGTGGCAGTGACAAGTGTCACTGTTCGACACGCCCTATGCGGCCTCTCCCCATTCTCCATTCCCATTCCCATCCCCATCCCCATCCACATCCCTATGCCCTGCCTTTGCTCCTCCTCAGCACACGCACCCTGAGGCCTACCCCGGAGGCAGGAAGTCTTTATGGGCTCACACGCTCGTCAGGAAGCCCCGGCAATCAGGACACAAGAGGAGAGGACGTAGGCTCGGGAAGAGGAATGAGACCAATTGGAGTTTATTAATTTGAGGCCGTGCGTGTCGTGTCGTGTCGAGTCAGAGTCGAGTAAAGTCGACTCCGAGGTATTTACAATTGTTGTAAATATTTCCTTTATTATTGTAATTATATTTATGGGAATGTGACTGAGGATGGGGATGTGGGAGCGCGGGGGAGTGTGGCATGCCCACGACAATGTTGCGTGCCACTGAAGACTGGGGCGACTGGCGCTTGCCAGTTGCCGTTGCCGTTGCCGATTGGTGGCTAAGAGAGCGACTTAAATCGCATTAGCAGTACATTAAACTGATTTTTATGGATGTACTCCATGGTCGTGCTCGAGTGGCAGCAACAAGGAGGAGGCAGAAGCAGGGCTTTCCACAATTAGTCAAATATTTGCCGGGTTTTTGTCAGAGTCGCTGAAAATTGCTCGAAAATATTCGAGAATTGTGTAAATTCTTATAGTTCTCGTAATGTCGCTCATGAATATCACAAATACTCGTATTTCTGCAACTAATTTTCCCTTTCTGCTCTTTCAGGCCATGCTGCATGCCACACAGGACGCACTCTCACCCACTCAACCACTCACCGACACACTCACACAGACCATCCCACCCTCCACACTTGTACACGTAGGCACTTCCGGAATGGATGGCCCCGACTTGACTTGGCTTGACTCTCCTTCGTTCTTCGGCGGCTCCGGGATCTTGGGGCATGTCATGGAGCATGGAAACTTGACTTGGACGCTTCAGGTAATTATGCATATTTAAGCAGTTTTGTCTACAGTTTTACGGGGAGGCGCCTAAAAGGATGCTTTAAATTAATTATTTATGCAGGGCGGGGCCGACATATGCAAACATTTGTTCTCCCTGCCTCGGCCTCGTCCTCGTCCTGTCAAGTGGGCTCCTCACGAACAGGAAGCCCTCCATCTCCATTCCGTATATGGGTTTACTTAATGGGTTTATATGCATTTTAAAGGCAGGCCTACAGAGGCAGAGCCGACAGAGGGGCTTGGCTCGTCTGCAAAATTAATAGAGGTTCCTCTTCCGGATAATTGCCAGGCCAAGAGCTGGAGCACACTCCCCTCTTAAAGCTGCTACGGCCGCAGAATTAATGCCACACTATTAATGCTAATGTCGGGGCATCGCTCCTTCCCTGGCATCTCCCATCGGCTTGTGCTACATCCACAATGGCATCCCCTGTCCATCCGCCTGTCTCTTTTCATTTGTCAATGGCCGCTTCGAATTCTCTTTTGGCCCGGTCTCCTTTCAGCCACACTTCAATACACAGCTTTGCTTTCAGCTTAATTGTTTTGCAACTAAACATCAGTCGGAGGAATGCCTTTCATCCTGCTCCTCATTGTTGGCGCTTGGTCTTGCTGCTGTGGATGCCTCTGATGCTGTCTCTACTGCTGCCAAAGGCGTGTCTAAGTAGCTTTTCTATAAATGAAGGCAGGAAGCAAAGGACGAGCGACAAGCGAATAAACTGAAATGAAATGAAACGAACAAATCTCTATCACTCTTTGAGTCTGTTCAGACCCGCTGAAATCAGAGACCCGCTGGGCCCTGGCAACGGCACAGCATGCTCCTCACGGCAGCAGGAGTACCACGAGTGGCAGGCGGCTGAGAACCATCGAGTGGGAATGGGCTGTTAGCTTTTGGGATGGCTAATTAAAATGTGTTCAAGGCCAGAGTCTGCGAATTGCGAATTGCGTTTGCAATTTATGCTTTTATGGCCACAGCTTCCACACCAAATGGTAGCCGTCAAAGTAGATGGTTGCCACAGCAACGAGCAGAAGGGTGAGGGTGGGAGAATGTGTGCGATTAAGAAATATCAAATAACATGATAAAAAGTCAGCTCAGACCAGTGCCTAGCAGTCAGAACTATTTTAATTGGATGCGAGTACTCGTATTCTCTGTGTTTCCATGGGAACATTTGTGTCATTTGGCCACAAAATGGGGAGATGGTTGTGGAGTCTGTATGGATGGGACCGATGCTATTGGTTCATTCGCTGATTCCGTCAAGAATTGGATAAGGCATGCTCAGGAGACGAAGCTACAAGACATTCGGCAGAGGAGCATCGTATGCCCCGGCAGGAGTTGAGTTCTGGTTTGCGGATGGGAAACAAACTGTAGACAATGCGCACGTCGGAAATTAGCATAGTTTTAGGCAGCTGAAAGTTTTCCGATGTTTTTGCCAATTTCCGTCAACAATTTACGGGCCCCGAAAAATTACAAAACACATCGTGGTCGAAAAAGTTTTGGTGTGCAACTTTAAAGGCCACCCCGTCCTTGGGACTGTGCTGCGGGAGGAGTATCGAGGGCGCTTAATTTATTGATTTGGGCGGCCAGCAGACAAATGTATTGCACCCGTATAGGAGGAGGCGGAGTGTGTGCACATTTATATGTATGCTTGTTCTGAAAGGCATCGAAAACAGCCCACAAATGTGCGCCTAATTGAACTTTGAACTGAGTCCGAAATGAAGATGGAATCGAATCGAAATCAAATCCCATCCAATCCAATCGTACCGAATCGAATCGAATCGAATCGAATCGAATGGGGAAGGAATGGCCCCTGAGTGAAATTTAAACGGTTTAGCCATCCCCTAAATAAACCCTCCAAGGAGCCGAAGTTGGCCTAAGTAAATTTAACTGAAAAATGTTCACTTGTCTGCTGTCTGCTGTCCGCTGTCCGCCGTCCGTTGTCCGCTCTGTTGTGCTCTCCTTTGTTTTGTATGTTTTGTCCTCTCCTTTTGATAAATGTCCAGCAGCAGGCAGCCAAAAACAAGCACATAAATCACACGCATGTGTGGATAAGCAGAGGCAGAGGCAGAGCAAAGGAATGAGAATGGGAATGGGCTGCACAATATCTGAGGCTGAAGGATATGGGATATGGGACTGGAACTGGGACTGGGACTTGATATGCCACAGAATGCCCATCCATATCCATGGGCAAGTAGTTAAAGTTTGCGCACTGGCCGGCCGCATGCAAACATATGCGAATGACAAGCCGATGCCTGCCTGGCCCCACTATCGCTCCGCTCTCTCTCTGGCTTCCGGTGCCATGTAAATGTTATTAAATTTGTTGGCCAGGCCCAGATATGTACATACGGCAAGCCACAAAGTGCCACACAGAGATGGGGCAAGTACAAAAGCCAATTGATTTCAACTGAAACGAACCCCAAAACCAAATAGAAACCCAGTCCCAGCCTCAACCCAAGAGCGGAGCGGAGCTGAGCTGAAGCCACAATTCTGTGAGAAGGCAAACCATCCGAAGTCAAATCCATATCCAAAAGCCGAGAGAATACTGTCAGTCAGGACAAACAATGCAGGAGTCACATGAGTATGAGTCTTCCTGTCCCACCTCCCTCTCTCGTTGCCCCACTTTGCTTGGGGCATGTCACACCCCCCTTCCTCTTCTCGCTTCCGGTTCTGCTGTGACCGCAAATGCCCGAAATTTATGCCAATATTTGCATTCAATGCCCAAAAATAAACCGTAAAATGGTAGCAGAGCACAGAGAAATAGTAAGAGTGAGAGAGGGACACGAGTGTGGCAGAGAGATGGCCTGTCTGGCCGAATGGTGCTGCATACTTTAAGGCCTTGCAATTGTTGCAGGATGCGTTTCGTTTCGTTCCGTTACGTTCCGCCTCTGCCGCTTCTCGAAGCTTTAGTCAGTCTGCTGAAAATTTCATATTTATGACCAGCCAAGAGCCCGTGTATCTGTGGGTCTCTGTGACTGTGAATGCTTCATGCTGCCTGTGGCATGGGGTGTTGGTATTTGTGCATCGAGTGCAATAATTCAATTGCACACCTACGCAATTTACCGCCAAGAAGAAGAAGGAGGAGCGAACGGGCCTGCCCTGCCCTGCCCTGCACTGCAATGGAAAGCGTTTAAAGCGCTCCACTGAGCAGTCGAATGAGCAGGCAGAGGAGAATGTAATAGCAGGGACAAAGAGTGGCCAGGGGAGGGGAAGGGAGATTAAAGCTTTCTCCATCTCCATTTAGCATTTAGCATATTTCGTAGGCAATTTCGTTTCGTTCCTCGAGGGAGCTGGGGGAGAGGGGCATAATTGGATTTGTTTAGCTGTCAATATTATGTCAGAAATCAACATGAGACGGGGCCGTCGGGAGACAGGAAACAGGAAGGAAGTAGGGCGCGACAGACATGCAGGAATGGATGGATGGAAGGACGGATATATATATATATACATATATATATATAGATAGATGAATAGATAGATACATGGACAGATAGACAGATGGACGGATTGATATCTATAGATAGACATCCGATACCAAGTCAGGCGATGTTCTCCTATTAACTGCCGCGGCGTCGACGTTGTCGCCAGTAAGCGGAATCCGGGGAGGACATATGTAAAAAGTAGCGGCATACGATCCAGTGCTCCCCTCGAAGTGACACGAATGCTAGTAATGGGCGTGGCCAACATGCAAACGGACGCGGCTCCAGGCAAGGGGCAATCAAAAAAATTTGACAAGCCGATGGGAAGGGTAATCAAGTAAGGAGGGAAAACAAACAGCAGCGGCTGCAGCTGACATCGATAGATAGATAGATAGATAGATGGAAGATAAATAGGATACTGTCGCTGGGGCAAGAGAAACAAAGGGCAATGGAAATAGAAAGAGTCCTTCCCCGAGAAAGGACACTCGAGTCAAGTGCACTCGAGCCTCGATTGGCTGTGGCTCCTTCCATCCAAATCTCCTCAAGCTGTTGACTCGTGTGGCGTATGCTCAGCAACCTAATACTATCAGTGGGGGTCCTTCGGCAGCACAGTCCTGTTCTGTCCTCTGTCCTGTGTCCTTCCTTGTGATATCAATTATAATTTCCCTCCGCACAGAGTCTGCTCAGAGTCTGTTTGTGAGCTCGGAGGAATGGGGGAGTGGGGGAGTGTTTAAGTTTTGGTTTATAAGTGTGGCAAAGAACACTCGAGAGCCGTAAGCCAAAATGAAAACAAAATGCGAGCCCAAGAGCTGCTCATTAGTCTGCTCCCCCAGTCTGCTTGGCTCCATCCAGCCCCATTCTTGCCCCTGCAACATTGCCCCAAAAACTGTGTTAATAAAGTATTTGCTCACTCGAGTGCAACCAGCAAACACACTCGACGCAGGGGGTGAAGGCAGAGAGTTGACTTTTGCAATCAGCAGGCAAGGATGCAGCTGCAGCTGGAGCTGCTCTAGCTGCTCCTCTTCATGGTTGCTGTGGATGTTGATGCGAGGCTGGAGCACAAATATCCGAGCAGAGTGACAGGCGCACACACTCGTGCAGGTTGAGGCGGCACAGACAGGTTCGAGTTAAGTGCCTGGCTTGGCACTGTCATAATTTACATATGCCAAACAGCAGGAGCACAAGGAGCAGCAGCAGCTGAAGCGAGGGTTAACCCAGAGATGCACCGAATCCCCGAGTATTCTTGCTCATCTGTTGTGGCTTTGCTCCCTGCCTCCTGGCAAGGGCATTCGAGTGCAGAGCACACGGCAGCAGCAGCAGATGCAGGTGGCAGATGGCAGATGGCTCACTGAAGGTGAGTCGTGGCTTTGTTGGGGGCTTTATTTATATGAGTGATTAGCCAGTGCCGGGAGCTTTCCTCCCTACCATCCTCCGCTCCGCTCATCTCTCTGCACTGTTTATTTATTAGTGCAAGGTGTTGTTTGCCTCTCAGTCTCTCTGTCTCTCTGTCTGTGTCTCTGTCCGTCTATCTGTCTCAATGTCTCTCCGTCTGTTTGTGGTGAGCAAACAACAGAATTGTGGATAGCTGCTCCTGCCCAGGGATCAGCACGTGCCCCAGCTTAGAGCGGCTGATGCTGCTGCTGCTGCTGCTGCCAGATATTTGCCTTTAAATTTGCACGGACTTTAATCCCAGCCCCACCTCAATAACCGACTCTTGCCGCTTGAGATTCGGTCTCCTTCCAAATGCCACACACGTCGCGTCAGCCGGGTAATTGAGTTGGAAAAATGTTGTTGACGTCGTGCCCATGCCGCACGGCGGAGAAGTAACAGTTACAGTGGCAGTGGCACTGCGACATGTTGCGACAATTGCATCTGCATCCACAGCCACAGCCACAGTCGCATCGTCGCCTCTGTTTCCATTTTGCATATTATTACGTGGAATCCTTTTGGGCCGTGGCAAAATTTCAGCACTTTTTCTGCTCCGAACATGTGCGCAAACATTTAAATCAATTGTGTTCCAATCTCCCCCGGGTAGAGGCAGTGCCACAGTGGCAGTGGCATGCAGCGTTGCAGCTGAAATTGTTACGTAAAATACGAGCACGCGCTCGAATCAAGCAGGAAAACGCGGACGAAGGCTGACAAGCAGCCGCCCCACCGGAGCAGGAGCAGGGGCATGAGCAGGCGGAGAAGCATTTCGAGGAGATCTCCCCGATGCGACGCGGTTCAGTTCGGTTCGGGTTGATTCGATTCCATTATGTAAATATTTCTATATCGGCGTCTTTTTCAATTTCAATTTAAGGCGATTTCCAGTTTAAGCTGCTCCCCCTCTCTCTCTCCATTTCTGTCCCTGTTTTTGCTCGATGCATTTTCGTTGGCAGCAGTGGAAAACTGCATAAACCTTTTTTGCCTTGTGCCTATTTTATTCCGGGCCCCACCCCTTCGTGCCACTCGCAACTTGGCAAGGTGCACGCTTTCTCACACAGCACTGAAGGTCGCCCGATGTTATATACACAGCTAAAGCCACAGGCCATAGGTGGTGAGATGGGTGTGGGAGGGTGGCTGGGCAGAGTCAGCTGGAGGCGGCATGGCAAACTTTTTGCAGCTTAGAGCAGCCGAAGCGAAGGAAAAACCAAAGTCGTGCACTTGCAAGCCAATAAAGCGGAAAAATATTATATTTTCCAGCCCCTCAGAGGGGGCACTGCGTTAAAAATATATTTATGCAAATGGCGGTCTAATTTGTCCCCCCATCTGACCCCATCACCCCAGGCCGCTAGGTTCTGGTTAAATTATTAAAATTATTATTTCAACCTCATTTGCAGATTCGTTAACGGCCGCTGCAGACAGTGCGGATGTTATGGACGTCATGGACATCAGGTAGGTTGGGGCTAAATATTTTACTGCTTCCTATTCGTATTCCTCTGCCCCTGCTTCCACGCGCTCTCTTTTCCAGTGCTAGTGCGAATTTTAGTATTCTGTATTCTGTATTCAGTTTTCAGTTTTATTTTGCAATTAATTTTAATTAGTTGCCGTTAAATGGCAAACAATTCGCACTAAAACTTTTATCAGACAGTTTCCAGTTTTCAGCTTCTATCCCGCTCCGCTTCGCTCTTCTGTTTTCTCTGTTTTTATGCCAAAGCTAATTACACGATGCGTGTCTGCCCCGCCCTGCCGTGGCATGCCTCACTCACTGCCGCCCGGATTCATAATACTTTAGTTTTTATAATGTTTTGCTGGTTAAACAAGTTTCCCCCCAGCAATTTTATGAGCTTGCGACATGGGTAGGCATCATGGTAGCACAGCAGCAACAATCCACCTAATCCCAACACGCCCAGTCATTGACACGAGTCGAGTTTGGGGGCATGTTGGCAGTCTCTCGCACCGGCTTTAATGACTTTTGTTGCCACACGAAACCGGGAATTGATCTCACCTGGTGGCAGACTCCTGGATTCGGTGGCTGTGGCAGTGGCAGTGGCTGCGGCTCCTTTTGTGGTCCGGAGTGCTTCGGGTGCTGCTTCTCGACTGCTTCGCGACTACTTGCAACTCTTAAGTGAGTCATATTTCAGAGCTTAATCAGCTGCAAGTTCTGTTCGCTACTTGAAATGGCTTAAGTTTTTGGCTTGGCTATCCCTTGCCCCCACTACGCGCCACGGAGGAGCGGAGTGGAGCTGAGCTTGCAACAACGCAGTGGAGACATGCAACGACGAGAATTAAAAGCATACTTTTCGGCGACTTGCAACCGCACGACAATGCAATAAAAGAAAACTTGCTCCTGCCACAAGTTGCTCCGTTGCTCCGCTGCACCGGAGTTGCCTGGGGCGGGGTAGTTGCAAGTTGCTTGCTAGTTGCAACAAGGCAAACAATTGAGCAACTCATTGAGGAAGAAAATCAAAATGCAGTGATAAAAACCAATTGAAAACGAGTCACGAATAGATGCAGAGGTTGAGCAGCGGAGGATGGGAGCGGAGTCGAATCGGAGACAAAGGAAAACTTGTGCCAGGGACATGTTTGTCTCTTGTATATTGAATGTTTATTTGCATGCGACATTGTGTCCTACATACACACAAGCAAAAACACTCCCTTACATATACATACATTTGTGTGTGTGTGGGTGGGTGTGTGTGAGTGGAAAGTTTTGCTCGAGGTTCTAGGGGGCAGAAAGGAGTTAAACGCGTTCTTAATATCACATAAAAAATAGAAGCGTAACAAAGTTAAACAAAACTTTTGCTGCAACAAAACTTTCGAGTTGCCACAGCGCTCTCTCTCTCTCTCTCTCTCTCTACCTCTCTCCCTTATTTTCCCTGTGATGGTAGGAGAAAGTCGCTTGACTTGCTTCAGAATTCAAAATGGCTTCCACTTTGGGCTTTAAGCTGCCTGCCACCACACTGCCACCACTCCATCCCGACTTAAAGTAAGCGGCAAATTCATTCAAATCAAACGCGATTCCTGCGAGGCTTCTTCTGAATATGCCGCATAATTCGATTGATCAAAGTGCGTCCCCATCTTGGGGCGGCTGGCTCCCACTATCACGGCCAATCGCACCTCTGGGGAGCTCTTTTGCGGCTGGCCTACAAACGATGACCGAATTTGAGTAGCGTTCCTTATGCATGCAATAAAATATTTACTCCCGCATTCCCCCTTTAGGAATCTTGCTCCCGGAATCTCCATAAAAATTGTAGAAGCACATTGGAGCCCCGATTCCCACTTGCCGTTCCCCTTGAGTATTTCGAGTGTTTCGGGTATTTATTCAGCATTCACTCGAACATTCTTTAATCGGCAAGGGGACGGCGGCGGCACTTGTTGAAGTCGGCTGGCTGCCATTTTAATTGCCTCGCCGCCACCGCCTACTCATCTGTGTTAGCCACACATACACACACTAATGCAGCCTCGCTTTAAAAAAAAAGTAATCGTGCAGCGGTAGCGGCAGGGGAGGTGGAAAAGTGCAGAGCGCGTTGCGCCAAATGTCAACAATAATTTTTAATTAAGATTTGTTTTCGTTTTTCATATTAGAGTGAAGAAACGTTAGGACCTGCCGCCACAGAGCCTGCCCCACCCACTTAGCCATGAGCTGCCACATAAAGCAGTGCCACACACACGCTCATAGAGTGAAAGATCCTTTGGCTGGGGCAAGGAGTTAATTTGAATTTTATAGCAGTCAAGTTGTGTAATTTCAGCACCCAAACGCTTCTACAACGAGAGGCGTTGTGCAACACATGTTGCCGCTGCAGCAGGAGGCGTGGTGCTGTGTGTTTGGGTGTGGGTGTGTTTGAGTGAGCTTTATGTACATACGTATGTATGTGTGTGTTTTATTTTTATTTTTTTTTGTTCCTTCCCCTTTTCAACAGTTTTCTTTTGCCCGCAGACAAGAATGAAGGACTGACTGCTGCATGAACTGCACATTATACATCCTCGTACTCGTCAGAGACGAGGAGGGCAAACAGAGAAAGAGGGGGAAAAGTTTTTCAATTTCTTGAACTGCATTCTGGCAGAGTCAAGGATGAGGATGGGCATGGGGATGGAGATGGCCCAGCTACAAGTTAATCTGGCCCAGAGACTACTCAACTTGGTATCCGTCTTGGCCGGGTGCGAAGTGAGAAGGATGAAAAGGATATGTCGGAGGATGTGGATCATCCTCCCCCATCCCCTTCGCCATCATTCAGTTCATTTCCTTAGCCAGAGATTGGCAAAAACTTTGGTTATACTCGCTAGAGTCTCAGTATGAGTATGTGTACGAGAGTATACTTGCATTCTTTGCTGCAGAAAAGTTCTAATTTCGTAACAAATTACACATGTAATGCATGTGTAAGAGGGAGGGTGTAGTCGTTGCAATTTATTAGCTGCAAAATGTTCTACATCTTGCTATCTGGCTGGAACACCACCTCTATCCCTCTTCCCCCTCCCCCGTCACCGCTCTTGACTCTCAATTACACGCCAAGTTTATCTCTGGCTGCCAATAAGCCCAAGTTTATGGTCTGCAGCTTCTGGCAATTAAGTTAAGCTCCCAAGGAATCTGCTCAACGGCCGAAAAATGCCGAAAAGAACTTTTTGGCATTTGCCAAATTCATGCCACACATGTTTATCCGGGTGTGTGTGTGTGTGAATGTTTGTGTGTGCGAAAATTGAATATTCTGCATGCCACATAAATTGAGAGAGGGAGCAAGGTGCAGCAGCAGCAGCAGTGGCAGCAGCATGGATTACTTATTAAATTATGTTGGGGCTGCAAAGCAAACTTTCTTTGCAATATTAAAATTGTTGGCAATCTTTTGCTGCTTTTTCTCGCATTCCCCGCTTTCCCCGTTTCCACTGCTGCAGCGGCTGCTGGCAAATGGCGTTTTGCATGCTTTGGGCTGTCGCAGCAATTATTTCATTATGTGTGAGGCCCCGACTAAAGCAAACTGAAGATTCCTTCTCGGACTCCTCCTCTTCCTGCCTCCGCCTCTTGGAAATTATGCACTCGAAAAGTTTCAGCGTCGCCTCCAACTTGGCTGCAGCATTCTCATTCGCATTTACTTTTCTTTCCTACCCTCTCCCACTGCGCTGCAACACAAAGAGGCGTTGACTGCGCTTCATTGTTATTATCATAATTGCATAAAGTTGTAAGGAGTGTGAAGAGCGGGCTGCGGCAGAAGGCAAGGCGCCGCTTGCTGGCGACACTTTTTCGGCGGAGACAAGACTAAGCGCTTTCTGGCCATTTTCATTTGTATTTACCCTTCCCCCCCACCCCTGACACGCCATGGCGGTGCGTTCCACTTGCTTTTCGGTTCTACTTTATGTCGGTTTTAATTATTGCAACTTCTTTGGGCCCCGCTCTTCGCTCTTTCAAGCTCCATTAATTTCCCTTCGCATGCACGTGTCTTTGATGTGAGGCGAAGGACCCTCTCTCCAGCGTGGACTCGGGCTCTTCCCGCACGCATCATTAAACGGGCCCCGAGCGGGGTCACACGCAAATTAAAGTGCCATATAATTTCCCGACCACGCCCTGGGCCCAGGGCCCACCGCCAAAGTAAACAAACAGTCAACAGAAAAGGCCAAGAATTGTGTTTTTTTACCCCTGCCTCTGGCCGGATGTGAGTGATTATAAATAAGAGATTCCGCTGTTTCCACCGAGCTCCAACTGCGATCTGCTCCGCTCCATAGAGTTTCCTTCCGAGCAAATATCATTGATTATATCAAATTGCTTGCTAAATGTTGACTCTGAGCGCTTTTCCCCACCTTAAACGCTGTGTCTCAGGGCAAAAGGCGGAAACGGAAATGTCCAGAGCCATGGGGCATCCTGGATTTATAGACAGCCAAAGCGTGAGCTTGAGCTTGGCCGTGGACAGCAGCCGCTGCGGGGAACAGCTGCACTCAAGCGTTTGAGCCCCTTTCCGGCGTCTGAATAAGCCTCTGCCTCTAGCTCGAGGCGTCTGCCTGTCATACTTACACGCTTGGCTGCATGCAACGCCATGAATTTTGTGCCGCAATCAAACACTCGCCCCCAGCCGCTGCCGGAAGTGCGTGGCATGACGCGACCCAAAACTTGGCCTTCGCGGCTCCCACGAACGAGAGCCTGAAATTATGCCACTGCGGATTTGCATATGCCCCGCAAGCTGGACGTAGGACCCGACCCGACCCGACCCAACCCGACCCAACCCAATCCTCGTATGTTATCAATCAGTATCGGAGCCAGAGCCAGAGCGTGCCCCCATCTGGGGGATTAATCCTTCATATGAATCAATCACGGAGAGGGGATAGGACTAGGGTGTGGCCATGTCATAGACACACGGTATTAAAACTACTGACAGCCGCAATTTATTATCAATTGGCAAACAAAGGGCAGGAATCGAAACTCACGTAATACATTTAAATCAATTGCGGGGCTAAAAGGGCCGGAAACTAAGTGAAAATGTAGTCAAAGTGGGAGGGGCAGAGCGAATGGTGCTTCATTGATGAATTTCGAAAACAATTAGAATTTCCAATGAGAAAGGGGAAATGTAAATGGGGAGAAGAACGATGGGGCAGTGGCAGTGGCAGTGTCAAGGCAGCAAATGTATTCATTTCCACTTTGCAGCTTCGAAATTTATTGCATATTTAATGAGTTTAAACTCAGACAGAAAATGAAATGTAATGCATTTTCGGGGATGACTCTCTCTCTCTCTCGCTCTCTTTCTATCGGCCTGTCTCTCTGCCTATCTGTATGTGTGTATGTGTGCTCTGGCGATTTCCTGTTTTGTGGCTAGCAATTGATTTGTTTGCAATTTAGATGCGAACTCGATTCGAAAGCTCGGGCTTGCCAGCCTGCCAGCCTGCTGGGAAATTAGTTCAATTGTTTGTGCTACAGATGCGGGTCAGCGGAGGAGGGGGAGGGGGAGCGGAGTTGGCTCAAACTTAATGCACAAGTCAATGGGCATGGGCGAGCTTTAAGTTAACATTGCGTATACGCCGCGTTGCGCTCATAAATAACAAAATCGCATTAATTTAAAACTCATTTCGTGAATAAACACAGACAACCCAAATGGTGGTCGCTCGGATGAGGCCAGTGGGTGCATGGGTGCATGGCTGCTGGCTGCATGGGTGGGTTGGTGGTGCAACGCATGCAACGGCAAACTGCATTTTAAATTAAAATTAAAAGTCACTTGCTCCCATTATCGCCAGCAGCGTGGACAGCCACGAAGCAGCGAGGAAACGAGGACAAAGGACCAGATCGGGTGCTATCCTGTCCTATGCTGTGCTGGGCTGTCCTTCTCAACCATGTCCTGCACGAGGCGATAAATAATATATATTGTGCACGCATACAATTATGTTCCCTTTTGGCAGTCGTTGGGGCGGCTATTGGTCTGCCTCCTGCACCTGCTCCTGCTCCTGCTCCGGGCCCACCTCCTGCCGCTGCTTTAGCCTGGCCAAACTCCTGCGACTCTGGCCAGGTGCAAATATCTAAAAACAATGCAATGATTTATGCATGCCGCGCGTCATAAGCCATAATTTCCTCCTTGAATATTGCTCAACGAAACATGCATAATCGAATAGCAGGCAGCGATTTTCATTAAATTGCCTGCGAGAGACGCTGCGTATGCGTAAGCGTATGATATTCGCTCAACTAACACTTCTCCTCCTCCCGTGGCAACTTAATTGGATTTCCATTTAATCTCTGAAGGGGTTGGCTCCTTTGATCAAGGAGTGTGGCGTGTGGGATTGGGTATCTGTGTCGACGTCCGTGTGCTGTGATTGATTTTTAATTAAAATATTTATTTATTTGCAATTAAGTTGATTGACTTTTCAATTGGTGACCGCAACAAAAGCAGAGGCCACTCATGGGAAGTGCTTAATGCGGAGTAATCACTGAATATTTTACTAATTTCCATTTATCCATCCAACTCATATTTGCAGATGGTCTGGCCTCTGGATCTTGGTATCAGCGCAATCCCGAGGGAGCCCAGGATTGGAGCAGGTAAGGACAAGGTTGCCGTTGCCCTGGACAAACACTCATTAATATCAGACTTTTCTCATCTGCTCCCTCGGTTTATGACTGCGGCAGGGGCTACAATTATTTATTTACTCCGTTTGGGATACTGCCCTGCGGCAGATGCTGCCCTGCCCCTGCCCCCTGCAGGCTCCCTGAGAGTTATGGCAAATAAACCATAAATTAAATTACCACATTTGATTGCCGGGCCTCATAACCAATTTGATACGACTGACTTCCTATTCCCCATGTGAGGAGACGGCCCCATCTCTGCCTGTGTCTCCGTCCGTCTCTGTGTTCCTGCTCCTGTCATAATTTGAATGCGTAAATGACTAAATGAATGAATGCATTATGTATGCCGACACAAGCCCCATTGCTTTCTCTGCGAAATTGATTTTTAAGTTACGAGCATACGCATTTATTTGGCAATTGAAGGGAGCGTCGTCTGTCGAATGTCCTCTGTCCTCTGTCGTCTGTTGATGTCAAGGAATTGCAATTCAATTTCTCTCTGAAAAGGATGCTCGAAGAGCACTCCCATACGGCTACCCCCAAGGCCCGGCTGCCGGCAAAAGATTTATGAGCCCAACGCACAAAAACGTTCATTGAAAACACATTTTCCATCTATGCCCATCTCTGGCATCTCTTCTTTTCCACTTCCACCTCCACCTCTATTCTGGCGAATGGCGCCTTGCACAGAACTGGAGCCTGGAATTGCAAATTCAATAAAGCATTATATAATATTGCCAAGACCCAAACACGGATACTCACACACACACACACACACACACACGGAGTCCCGGTCTGTCCCTCCATGCGAGTGCAATAATTTACAACATTTTAATCGAATTAGACGCTGACTCGGAAGGGGCCCAGAGAGACGGACGGACCTTGGCCAAGAGGCAAAATGCATTTTAAGTGCTGCAGTCGACGGCTGTGCACAACTTTGGCACTTGGCAGCATCGGAAACGGAAAGACAAAAAAGAAATTATACACACCACACCAAATGTGCCGGCTGGTGGGGAGAGCGGAGAGAAAAGGATCCACGGGATCCGTTCTTGAACTTGTGCCAGCGAATCTCTGTCCAGGCCGGGGGGAATGGGAATTGCATGGAATGGAAAAGCATTTAAGGCCAGCGATTGGTTGATAATTATGGGGCAGCTCCGACTGGAGATGTCTTGCGGGAAACATCCAGTCAATATTCGTGGCACTCTCGGCGAACTCACCCGAGGGGTTCGCCTCCCGTGAAAGCTCTTCTCTTTCGTGGATTTTCGTCTGCTAAATTTAAAAACATTTCATTTGCCATTCCAACGGCTTGCGCCACATGCAACCAGGCGCAAGTGCATCGGGACGAGGGTTGGCGGCAAGCAGCGCCAGAGAATTGTCATAAATTCCAGGCAATAAATTTCTATTTGTTTTATTTTCTAGCCATTCTAGGTTTAATTTTATTTTTGTTTGTTTGTTTGCTTGCCCCTGCCGAGGCGCGCAACTGCAGAATGCCACTAATGTCGGAGCCCAGGCACCAATTGCCATTCTCCACCTGCACCCAGCCCCATCTTCATGCACTGCATACAGAATCCAAGGGGGCATCCAGCGGAGCGTGCTGAAATAAAAATGCTCGTGCTTTGCTTGGATCTGCGTTGGGCACTCGACTCGACTTGCATTTGTTCCTCTTCCGGTGGCCAGCTGACACTGGTTACTCGCCCGTGGCGGGGCTTAATCAAATCTACAGGAATTTGTTATAGTTATTTCTACGATTATTTGGTTAGAGTGTACTCGTAACTGTTGCACGCCCAGTCGCAGACGGAGCGGAATTTTTCCGTTTTCCCTGCCTCGTGTCCCCATCCATTAAGTGTCTTTCAGGCGCTAATAACTTTTGTGTTTGCGCGTCAGCCGCTGGAAAATCGATACAGCTCAAATGATTGGTTTGGCGTTGTTCGTTGCGGAAAGGGCTGCAAGGAGGAGTATTACGTTGAGCAGGATGAGCAGAAGACGTAAGCGAAGCGAAGGCGGACAGGCGACAGCAGTGGCTGCCACTTGCCTTGTCACAAAATCCGCTAAGCGCCCCAGACACACTCATCGTCGTGACATGTAATGAGCCCGAAAGCTGACGGCGGAAGCGGAAACGCAAGCTTTACCTACCACCTTCCAACCTCTTCTTCTGCTGTGCTATAACACCGTGTCTTTAATTTTGCATAGTTTATTAAATCCCTCAGATTCGGCTGATTCCATTAGCTCTGTCATGCCTTGCTTTTATTGCATTATTATGAGAGCGAGTGCCCCGGAAAGTGTGCTCCGCTGAAACTACAATTTGCGTGTCTTCACTCCTGTGTGTGTGTGTGTGTGTGTGTGTGTGTGTGTAGCACAGTGGCTGTGGCAGTTTCAGTTGCGAATGACATGCAAACGTTGCATTATGAATGTTATTATAAAATCTCGCTAGTTCGGGCCGAGGCTGGGGTTGGTTGGGGTCGGTTCAGGCCAGGCCAGGACGAGTGCAGTCTGTGTATGCATTTAAACGACTCTATTTACCGCAAAATGGCTGCCAAACAACAACAGCGAGTGGAACAACATGCCAGCAAACAATGAACGATAATAATAATGACACAACAGCAACAAAAAGCACAAAAAGAAACAACAGCTGAAAAGGCAGCCTAGCCCGTTGTAATGGCCACCGCCCGCCACCGAATCGGCCAGCTGAAGCACATTTTAGTGGGTACGTGTGTGCGTGTGGCCCTATTTGGATGTGTCTGTGTGTGTGTGTGTGTGTGTCACTTTACAGCTATTTAAAATTTAAATAATAGCAGAATACAGCGAGAAAAAAGAACAACCGCACGAAATAATAATAAATCATGTGAAATACATATTTTCAGAGCTGAAGAACACATACACATACACACACACACATGCACATGCACAGGCATTGTGTTGGCAGAGTTCTACCATTTGGGCCAATGCTTTGGTCCTGGCGCCGCGTGTTGATTTAATAGTCGTGGTCACAAGCATTATGGCATGCTCATGATTGCCCCCAAAAATACGTGCCACATTCCCAACTCTCCAGCGATGTGTGTGGATGTGCGTGTGCGTATGTGTGTGTGGTGGTGTATCGCATATTGTTCCGGCTTGGCTTTTTATGTAAATTTCCCATATGCAATGCTGCTGCTGCTGCTGCTTCTTCTCATTTTTCCATTATTTATTGTGTATTTAAACAGATTACGCATTCGCAACGTGGCAATAGCAGAGCAGCAAAAGGATGTGGAGGGAGAGGAGGAGGAGGAGCTGCGGGATCGGAGCAAAGATTAACAAATCTAATGGGAAAAGGAGCAGTAGCAGAAGTAACAGCTTGTGCGGACTGCAAATTGAAAAAGCGACAACCAATGACGATGATGGTGATGGTGATGGTGACGGGGACAACTACAACGACAACGACCAGTAGCAGTACCAGTACCAGAGCGGGACCCCCATCTGGGAGTGCAAGGGGCAAGTAGTCGTTGTTTGCCTGGGAGCTAGGATCTAGGATCCGTGCTATAAAAATGGAAATTCAGCTCCCTCATATGCTCCACAAATCTCGTTTAATTGCTGTTGTTGTTGTTGTTAGTGCTGTGGTTGCTGCCGGTTGCTGGCGGAGCACGGGTGGTGGTGGTTCTGCAATGAAATTTCATGCATTTTAATTTATGCAAAGTGGGAGAAATAGCAGAAACCGCACGGCAAACCCAGCAGGCGAGAAGCATTGGAATGGCTGCCACATTGCGCCTTCAGTTTTGTTTCGTTCTGCACTTGTGCATAAGCACAATGCCAAAAGCGAACAACAACAAAAAAAAGAGAGTGCCAAAGAAAGCCAAAGAAGGCAAAAACTTGAATAAAATGCAATACGAGAAGCCCTGAAATGGCAATCCGAACTCAGCGGCACTGAGCTGAACTGAACCGAGCTGTTCAGAACCGTTCCTAGCTGAACTCCAAGCCAAACGGAGATGGAGACGAAGCAGGCGGACTGAAGCGACAGGGAGCAGTCAGGCAAGCAGCGAGCCACTTGGTATATACGTAATACGTATTTGGGCAGCGGGCAACACGAACAACAATCGCAATGCCTGTGGCAGTGGAAGGGGCAGGGACAAGCAGCTTGGGCTACGTGCCAGGGAGCCAGTCCGATGGCCCGATGCGGCAGGGAGAAGGGTAAACGGTATTAATGGGCAGCACAAGCACAGGACCTTCTTTTTGGCAGCAGTTGGCAAGCGTAACAGAAACTGCTGCAATGCGACTTTTTCGCTTTTTGGCTGTTGATGTCCTTTATGTATTGTATGTTGCACGTGCACCATACCATACCATACCATGCCATGCCATACCATTTCTGTGTCAGTCCGTGTGCTCGAGTGTGTGGCAGACAGTGCAGCAACATACAAATCACTCGAATGTTTAGAGATATTCGATTTTCGACTCGCAGCGAGTAATCGAATGCTAATGGAAAACTGTTGCTCATAAATATGCCAGCCAGCAAAACGTTGAAGGAAAACCATGAGCACGAGGAGCAAATGGTGGAAAAAGAGCAGAGGGAGCAGAAGGAGCAGAAGGAGCATCAGAACCGAAGCCAAGAACAGGTCGTAAAAACTACAAGGGCCATTTAACTTATGAGTGGTAGACGCCGATCCCTGGCAAGCCCCAGACCCCTCTCTGGCCACCTCTTATTCCGTGGAAGGTGGCCCGTGCCAATTGCCAGCGGCATCAGCGTCGACGGCTCTTCAACGTCATCAACACATCGTGTACGTGACTTTGCCGACAAAAATTAACAATTTCATTAGTAGCCCCGGTTGCAGGAGTGTGTGAAGGATGGCTGGAGAAGATGACGTAGTGTCAGCCAGAGGAGGAAAAGCTATGGAAAAAGGAAAGCTACAGCAACATCAGCAGCAGCAGCACCACCACCACCATCAGAAGTGGGAGAGAGAAAATAGAAAAAAGCTGAGGGGGTCAAAAAAATTGCTGCCACTTATCAAACAGACGCCCACATGAACAGCCCACACACTTCCTGTCTACCCCGATGCTATATCTGTATATCTGTCGGTCGTACGGGTCTGTCTGTCTGTCTGTCCGTCTGTCCGTCTGTCCGTCTATCCGTGCGGGTGTGTCTCTCCGTGTGTGTGTGTCAAACTAACGAACCGCGCTGTCCTCTCACGCCCGGTCCCCGCCCACTGCAGTCATTTACAATACGTCTAAAAAGGCGCTGCGTGCTGTACGTGCATCAAGTGCGCTTCAAATGCACTTCATTGCCTCCGAGACACACACACAGACACAGATACGGACACATATTGCTCGGAATTCACACTCATACACTTGCACACCCGTATAGTAGAGTGCTTAGGCTTTGTGCTATACAAAGTAAATGAAATCGTGTAAGAGCAAAGAGGAAAGTGGAAAAGAAAAAAAAAACACACAGCACGGTGAGCACGGGGAGCACCGAGAACATGGGGCAGGGGCACACTGGGGCAGACATCAAAAAGCGCTGGCTCAGTTGCCGCCACCTTTTAGCACTCACAGATTCTCAGCACACACTCACCCATACTCATACACTTTTGCACACTTGTGCACTCACACACAGATACACTCGCGCACAATCAATTGCCTAAAGTAGTTTGTAAAATAAGATAAAGTTGCAGTAAACTGGGATCTCGGGCAAAGGATTCCGAGACAGTCTCTAATGAAAACGTAAAATCTTGGCGCACTTGCCCCCGTCTCGTCACGCCCCTGCCCCGACCAGAGACCGACCTCCTCCTGGTTTATTTGCCCAAGATTTGTGAGCAAACATACATGGAATTCAGACTTTTTCCTCCCGGCTTGTCCTTTCTTATTATTTCGATTTATCTCCTCTGACTGCTTTACCCTTTGCTTTGCAAACGGCGCACTGCAGTCATTTTACTTGTGTGCCTCCCCTTGGGCAATTTTAAAGCTCCTCCCCAATCCCAGACCTAGTCCCAGTCCCAGTCCTAGCCCCAATCCCTATCTCTAGCCCAACTCCAATCCCTGTAAACGAATGTGAGCGAGTGCGCTTGAAATTTTGAGGGCAGCCAAGCGAATTTGTCAAACAGCAAATACGAGTAAATAATAAAATCAAGTTGGCAGGCTGGTAATGTGCTTGAAATTGATTTTTTGTAGCAGCAGGACAACAAGCGGAGACAGAGTCAGGACCACGGATAGAGACAGGGACTGGCTACAGACAGGACCAACAATTGGCTACGGGGAGCGGCGGGATGGCTCGGTAAATATTTGGTCAAAAAATTTCCGTGCAGGTGTTGAGTTGAGTTCTGTGTTTGTTTGAGTTTGTAGCTGGAGTCGGGCAAGGATTTAAGGCAGCTTCAGTGGATCTGACGAGGACAGCAAGGATAAGGGCTTAAATTTTCACCCACAGTGAGGCAATCGCCATGCAAAGTAGAATTTGTTTCGGCGCTGGCGCTGTCAGCTGAAATGCTCGCTGGAACGCAACGAAATCCCCTAAATCAATAAAAGTTTCGATGGCTTAATACCAAAGCGGAAGAGGTCCTTCGCCCAACTTCCTGGATGTGGCGGCGACAGCAGTCGCTGCTAACTCGGCTGCCGAAAATATGCCGATGCCAATTCTCCGCCCCGTTATTGCATTCCCGTTGCACTGGCTGCAGATGGGATGGTATGGGAGCGAGGATATTTTTTTATTGACTTAGTTTCGAGTGGCAGCGACGAAAAGTTTCAGAACTCTTACAGCCAACCAACTCTGTGCGGCGTCTCTATTATTGGGCTGCTTACTTGGGGCGTTGTCTAGCGATAGTTTTTTCGGCTCTGCGATTACAAATGAGATTTATACGGCCATTTCCGTGCCATTAGCGGAAGTTCCAGTGCACTGCCTAGTCGAGTGTGCGGCCATAAAAATGCCTGCCCCGAGAGACTACGTCTCGTTCTCTCATCTTTTGCCCCTGAGCGCATTAACCAACAGTTTTTCTCATTTACTTCTCTTGTTCGCAGGCTGACTTGTCAACAGAGGCACGCCTAATGTCCTTTTGAAAGGATCCAGATCCTCCCCGGCCAACGGATGTCCACTGCAGCGGCGCCAGCCATTGATAAATTATCATGTGAGCAGCAGAAGGATGCAGATGGCAGCTGCAGCAAATGATGCTGCATAGAACTAACCCTCTTCCTACCTTCCTTCCGTTCTGCCGCTCAGGAGCCCAGCAGTCCAGCAGCCCCACCTGCGGCGACTTTTAATCTATTTTAAATGTGCAACGGTAATGGTACGGTGCGACCGGACGATGGTTCACAACGACCGTGTCTCTTAAACTGGTCGGTGGGACTTTCGTCCGTTTGTAACGCCATTTGTCAGCGATTTATCATCATCGTCGGGCCCCAGTGCTCGTATCGGATTATTTATGATCCCACCTTGTCGGATGTTGTTCCCCGCATCTGCTATTTATAATGTCTAGCGATAGTATAATTAATTGATTGACAATTTCATAATTTCCCTGATTCATAATTGATCAAATAAACGACTTTATATTCAAACAGTATCAATTTGTGTTATTCTCTTTTAATTCAGAGTACATTTACATATTGGAGCGGAAGATCCGAAGCCAAGAATTGGCCAAGAAATCAGCATGAAGGCTTATACATACGAGCCTCGTGTGTACATGTGTATGACACACAGCGCAGTTATTGGCACGCCACGCCCAGATCGGTAAAGAAACAGAGGAGATTTATTAAAATAAGCAAAAACACTCTTGTACAGAGAGCCAATCATTTTCCTTCAAAAGGAAATACCAGGGATGGCCATGTCCCACAAGGCGAATACAATCGATTGGTAAGACTCTTCCGATCAGAAAAAGACATCCTTGATTTGGCAGACCTTTTCGAAGTCATATTTTCGAAAGGCTTACTTTCCCATGTGCGAAAGTATACAGACTGACGATCACCGCCAAATACGGTGATTTCATATTGCGTAGAAAAGAAAACCAATATTTAAATGATTTCGACTATTTGAAGTCGTGCAATCGGGAGATACATTTATACGAGTATGGTATAGATATTTTATTATATTTGTATAATTATTTTAAACAATTGATAATATCTTTTCATTGTGAATGGAGTAACAAACAAATCAGATCTGAAACGGTCGCTTTTCGGTACGTTCTGGGTACTGCGTGCAGAATAATAACAATATTTTTGATGGACTAGCCTAGGGATTAAACATGAAAATCGCCTCAGGATCTGAGCTTGGCGTACAGTTTCAATAACATTAACATGCAGCTAAAATTAGATAATTATATAAATAATTTGACTATTGACTAGGGATAAATTTGTCATATTTGCTTTGCGATCTGCCTTCTCTTATCTGCTTCTGCTCTTCTGGCTTCGCTGGTTTCTTTTTCTAATTGGCTAATAATTGTATATTTGGATATGGTGCAGCAGCTTGAATAAATAAAATCTTGAATGGATTGCACTGGGCATTCTACCTACTTAGGCACTAGCGGATAAGGTAATGTAACATATAGAAATTCATGAGACAGCGGCCAGATTCCTTCCTTCGTAGCTCCCTGGGCCAGGAATGTTCGACTTTCGAACTTCGAGAGTTTCGCCGTTCTCTCGCCGCTTTCACCACTTTCGCCATTCGACTCGGCTAACGCGGATTTGGTTCTAAACTAGACTACAGACAAGTTTCTTCGATTGGCAAGACAAAAGCTTTGCTAAAAACGTATGCGCGTGAGCCATAGAGAGCGCCTACGAAATGAAAAGCTCCACGCAGGAGTTGCTCACTAGAGTCGTGGCAGCAGCTCCCGACGCCCCCTGGCTGCTGGTCTTTAGCGTGGGCGCTGGCGTTGGTGTGGGCGTGGACGTCGCATGGTTTGTGTCAATGCTGAGCAGTGTCGACGATGCCGTCAAGGTGGATCCAGTAGCGGAAGCCGTTGGTGAGGCCGTAGGCGGGGACACAGCTCCAGTTCCGTTCAAGGTAGTCGTGGTCTCTGGCGAGGCACCGAGCTGGTTGGGACTTGGACTAGCAAAGCCCAGCATCGGAATGGGCAGCTTGCTACCACTGGCCGTGGTCGTTGGAGAGAACTGCTTTGGTGGTACAAAGGTCACGGCGGCCTTGGTGGTCGTGAGTATCAGGCCGGTGCTGGTATGCGGAATGGCCACGCTAGGCGGTGAGAGCGGTGATGGGGGGAAGAAGTCCAGGGGATACTGAAAAGGAACCCCCGAATTTGTATGTTTAGTTTCATATAGCGACGGGATCATATGTAGATTAAACTCACCAGAGGCTGCGAGGGCGAGTGCGCTCCCGGTTGGCTGTAGTAGGTGGTTGGCGAGACGGGCGGACTCGGGTAGGGCCAGTAGACGAGCGGCGGCGGGTAGAAGGCGGACGCATGATGGTGATGGTGGTGGGCATGGTGGGATCGTGGCGTGGCCAGGAGCGGCGTGTGAGGCGACGGTGGCGCGGCCCCATACGCCTGGAAGGGGGCTCCAAAGTGGGCGCCCAGCACAGTGGCACCTGAATAGAGACGGAAGAGAGGGTTATTCGAAGGAACTTTAGTCAGACTCAAAGGGATCCCTATCGTAGGCATAATGGGGGCATACAATTCGGGGAGGGGGAGTAAGTGTTGTGAGTATGGCTTGGTTGGTTGAGTGTGGGAAGAAAGAAGTACTAGGCATATACAGGATATATGCGGAAATTCACATTTGTCTACATTTACAGATAATCAGAAGATATTCCTATTTGTTGCAGTTATTCTTGTTCTTTTTCTTGTTCTTGTTCTTGTTCTGGTTAGCAGCTGTCCCAAAATTTCTTGTAGCCGTTGCGTTGCCTTGTTGCCGTAGTACTTGTTGCTGTTGTTTTTTTGTGGGTTAGTGTGTGACCTTATCTTAGTACAAGTAATTAGGTTGGGATTAGTAGAGGTAAAATAGTATTCAAAACACTCACCGTTTAGACATTGCAAATGGTAGGAGAGACATACATATATATTTGGTATTGTATTTGTATCGGTATTCTTACCACCTCACCTCACCTCACCCAGAGACCATAAAACATTTGCGCACATACGAGTAAGTTTAGACATTTGTTTTTGTTTTTTGTTTGTTTGTTTTGTTTTGAATTTTGAGTTTCTTTGTTTCGATTTGTTTTGTTTTGTTTAATCCAAGCACCAACCTTTAGAGATAAAATTTGATTATGCACCCAAAGAACTGCCAGCATGCCAGCCTGGCAGCCTGGCAGCGGACAGAGTTACATACAAGATGCGTCTATGAGTAGTACGTTCATGATGGACATTCCACTTAGGGTTACGAGAGTATTACCAAAACAGAAACAGAAACGGAAACAGAGCCCAAAACAAACTTCCAATGCCGCTTCCATCTCCGCTCCATTCAACTCCAACCGCTCCGAGGCGCAGCAGCCCCGCTGAAAACGCGATCGAGTCTAAAGCTAAGCCCAAGCCAGATACCCCAGTTACATGTACATATATGAAATGGTGAGGAAGGGAGTTGGGGTAATATGGGACAGTACGGGTACAGGGTACATGGTACAGGGATTGAGGGTTACAGTTATACAATTTATCCCGCAGAAAACGATATAGATTGATTAGTAGGGGGAGCTCTGTAGGCATTAGTAGGTTGGGTCGATCCTCTACACTTAATCAATGAGCGAGAGACAGGGGGGGCGGGTGAAAGAAAGTGTATAGTACGGAGAGAGAGAGAGAGAGCGAGCGTTGATAGTTTTTAGGCGGTATGTTGATATTTTATTGATGTAAAATAAAAAAATTAACCAAAGATTGATCACTAACAGCTAATGGTAAAAAGATGGAATATCAAAATCGTAAAATGTGTTCCACAATAAAAACGTTGGTTGTTGTGCGTACAAACTAGTTAAGTAGATAATTGTTTTTTAGATATTTAGATCTTTAAAGTGGCCGCTGGAGGAGGATCTGCCAACCCAAACCCACTCGGAAGCCACTCGATTGCCGCATACGGGCACTCGCATAAAAACTACTAAAGGCTAAAGGTTAAATTAGGCTAAGGACTAAAAGCTAGGCGAATCTTTCCCGTGCCTTTCTTTCGTTATGCCCCTCTTAGCATTACGAAACTGAATGTTAGACGCAGCAGGAGCCGGAACAGGATAGTGTCAGAGGGAGCGATAGGAGGGAGGGTGTGAAGAGATAGGTAGATAGATAGATAGGGCTGAGCTGGAAACAGACTTCCATCGTTCTTCGATCGTTCTTAGACGTCTACGTATACGTATACGTATACGTACACGCATACGCATACGCATACGCATGTGCGTGTATGTGGATGTAAGCCCAAGACACCAATTACCGTTATCATGTACATAGACCAGACACACTAGACACTAAGGCGCCCGAATGTACGATAAGCAGGTCTTAGGATTAGGACTGGACTACATATGTAGATCCCTTCAAGGACTAATAACTAAATTAGTGATGACAGATAGAGGGAGAGAGAGAGAGAGAGATACAGGGAAGAGGGAGAGGGGAGAACACACAGAAAAATAAAGTGACAGTGATAGAATTATTTGCCGTTTGCGACTAACACCAGTTACGCACACTTAAGCTACACCATAGATCTAGATTATGCTAAATATACAATGTGTGTACACACGATATCAAATTCAAAAAACAATGAGATTATTAAAATTATTGAACGCATGTCAGTGGGTGGATTGGATTGGATTGGGGTTTGATCTGGGGTTAGCTTTTCGTTGAGAGACAGAGAGAGAGAAAGGATCGCATCGCATCCGAGCTCTGCATTCAGACCAGAGCACGAAAGACACAGGAAAGGATTTCAGACTGATTAAAATTAATGCCAACCAATTTTACAAGTGGTACGATCTTAAGTCTAGGCGTGTATCGTGTATTATGGATATTCCAAATATTGTCTTACAGAATTTCGATCTGAATTTCGTTAAATTTGAGCGCATTAGCCAACACCTGACGCCGTTCGTGGAGGGAATGCGAGTGTGGACTGAAGTAGACATTAAAATTAGATTGCACTGAAAGGGCGAGGGCGAGGGCGTGGGCGAGGCCCAGGCCATGCCGCACTTCCTCCACGAATGACGTTAGCCTCTGTTGATTGCTTTCGAATCGGGCGAAGGATCTTTTCTTCCCAGATCCCTCACTGTCGCACACACACACACACGCACACACACACACCAAGCATCCGAATGTGGAACAAAAGTGAGCAAATATTTCTGGGACCTTTCGAATCCTCGGTTAGCGGGTGTTCAAATGCGTGTGAGTGAGGAGCAGTGCAACTGTATGTGTGTGCGCGTGTGTGTTGACGATATTAGATATGCTTAGACCATAGACAGAATGCTTAGGCTGCTACGAGTACTCCATACAAGAAGAGTACTTAAGTACTTAAGGCTACTCCCATTCCATTCCCTTCCGGGAACGAAATCGATTCGCTACAGAATTATGCTCTAAATTATGTCTGGTATGCATGGGTGTGTCTCTGTGTGGGTTGCCATGATGGAACATGATATGCGCGTGGATCGTGGATAGATGTGTGTTTATGTATGTATGTATGTGTTTGTATATGTTTATAAAGCACTCCGCCGCCACTCACTGTGGATTGCAAACGGAATGGAACGAAGCGGAATGTGCACGAAGTGCTGGAGAAATGCTCTCAATCGACTCATAAGCGGAGACTCGCCTCAAATGCCCGGATTGTAGTACGAGTAGACGCTACTAGGCGTGCGGGTGAGCGCCCGCTTGGCCGCACTGGCTGCAGCCGCCGCTCCGGCCGCCTCCTGCTGGAATGCGTTTTCGTACGACCGCTTCATCGACTGCGGCTGCGCCTGCGCCTGAGCCTGTGCCTGTGCCTGGGCTTGGGCTTGGGCCTGTGCTTGAGCCTGAGCGAGAGCCAGGGCCGAAGTGGATGCACTCCCAGCCGCTCCGGCTTGCATGTAGCCAAGGGGAAAGTGCGGCATGTAAGGCCGCTGCATGAGCACAAACTGGGGCTGGCCCGACTGCAGCATTGCATTGGCGTAGAGCTGCTGCTGCTGTTGTTGGTGCTGCTGCAGGTAGAGGGGGTGTGACTGGAGCATGGCGTTGGCATACAGCTGCTGCTGTTGCTGCTGTTGTTGCTGTTGCTCGGCGGCAAGAGCGGCGGCGGCCTGCTGACGCACCAGAAGACTCTGCTGGGCTATGAACTGAGCCTGCTGCTGGGCTAGCAGGGCGGGGCTGGCGGCGGCCTGGGAAGCGGGCGGCGGCAGCGAGTAGTTCAGCGGGTAGCCGGGCGGGGCCTGGCCCGAGAGGGAGCCTAGGGCCACGGCTGCGTTCTGCAGCGAAGAGTGGGCGGCGGCGGCCGACGGCTGGGAGGCCATGAAGGAGGCCAGTCCACTGGCGGACGCAGCCGCGGCTGAGGTGGAGCTCAGTGGCGTCAGGAGGGCTGGGGACGTGGGCAGACCATGGTGAGCGGTGGCGTGGCCCTGGGCGTGCGAATGCGAGTGTGCGTGCGAGTGTGTGTGTGAGTGGGAGCCGGAGATCGCCGACTGGGCGCCGGCTGGGGTCGGCGGCGACTGAGCTAACATACCCGTGGATAGCAGCGAGGTCTGTTTGTGGGCATGGCCGTGGTGGGCCGGCGCCTGGGCGACGGGCGAGGCCAGACCGCCGTTGAGGACCATGTTCATGTCGTCGCCGGAGCACTGGAACACCTCGATGTAGCGGAATTTCTTGCCGAAGACCATGAACTGATTGTGCTTGCGCTGGGCGCAGAGCCGCGCAGAGTCCTCCGAGTCCATCTGGATGAAGGCCTCGCCGCTGGGCTGGCCCTGGAAATGCAGAAGGATGAGCAAAAGTGTCCAGGGCTGAAACCTGAAAGTCCTTGACTCACCTGCGCATTGATCACCATGTGCACGCCCTGGTAGATGATGTGCTTGGCAAAGTCGTCCAAGAAATGGAGGATGTGCTCCACCATGGCCTCGTAGGGCAGGCCGCGCAGCCTGATGCAGTTCTTTGTCGTTCCCGAGGTGATGAGGTGCTGTGGGGGATGGGGATGTGGGCACAGGTTAGCTGGGACCGGGACTGGGGCATGGGCGTGGCCATAGCCATGGGTGACGACACCCACCTGGGGCAGCAGGGGCAGCTGCATGGTGGGCAGCTGGGCGATCAGCGGCGGCTGGCTGTGGCTGCTAGTCTCAAAGGTCTTGGGGTCCATGGAGCGGTTGAGGACCTGCTGCACCTCGGCGGTGGTCGAGCGAAAGAGCTCGATGTATCGCTGCCCAATGGACTCGCGGTGTCGCCCCAGCGCCTTCGGGGCATCCCCCTCGTTGGCAAACAGCACGAAGGCGTCTCCAGTGGCCCGCCCGTCCGGCTTTTTCACGAACAGAACGCCCTCGTTCGCATCCAGCACGTGGCAGGGCGCCTCGCCCGTCGTAAAGAAGTCGAGCTGTGGATCGAACGAGAACGAAAATGTCAGTTTCGTCTCTCTGTGGGTGGATGGAACCGATAAGACTTACCACTTGCTTGGCCGTGCAGTCGTAGGGCAGTCCCCGCATCCGGATGATCACCTGGGCCCCCTTGGAGAGGAAGGCCTGCGCTTCGTTGGATGCCCCTCCGGCAATGGCCAGAAAGTCCTCGCCCGAGGCCCGGTACACCTCGATGTACCTGGCCCCGATGTGGTGCTTGTGCCGCTTGAGCGCCATGTCGCGATGCTCCTGGGAGACAAAGCGGATCAGGGCCTCGCCGTTACGCCTGCCCAGTGGGGACAAACAAAGAGCGACGCCGCCCCTGGTGGGTGGGTAGGAGGGAAAAGAGGGCAGAGCGAGATTAGAGACGATCGCTTGTAATCTGAGCTGACCCGCTGAACCCGCGTCTATCGGGGGGCAGGCTTATCAATGGGTTGGCTTGACTGCTCCGCTACTCACTTGGCTACGTTGAGTCCGCGGAAGAACTTGGCAATGTCCTGGTCGCTGCTCTGCCAGGGGAGTCCACGGGCGCGCACGATGCAGTTGCCGTCGACCTCGTCGTCGATTGAGCTGCAATTGAAGGAAATTCGAATCAGAATTAAAAAAATTTCAGTGGCAGAGTGGACTTCGTTATGCAACATGTGGTTGCTGGGGTGGGGTGTGTGTGGCGTCTCTTTCTGTTGCTACTTTTCGATCGCAAAACGTGACTTGGCCGACGTTTCACCGATGTGCACCAAAAGTTCTGGACGATTACCAAGCCAAGTCATCCAACATACGAGTATAAACATTTTTTGCTGACTCTCCCAAAACACAAACATGCAAGTAAAGATTGAGCCACACACACACACAGATAGGGGGGACACACACACACAAAGAATGTCATCCAGAAAAGGGGCCAAGCAGCAAAAAAAAAAAAAATAATATGATATGAAACGCGAACTAGAAACCGAAACAGAAAACAAATAAAACATGAATAATGGGGAATGGGGGAATGGGGTAGACAGACGAATAACCAAATCAGTTGGCTGCCAGGAGTTCCAACTAATTGCCATTTCAGAGTTGGAGGGGTGGAGTGGGTTTTCTGGTGCGGATTACCTTGCCACTAATTGAATATTTTTACGAGTGTAGCCCGAAACAGACCCGTGTCCAGCCAGAGGGCTCTTTCTGTATGGGCGGCGAGGGGGCGAGGCGTTTCCTTCTAGGTAACAAGAATTTTCCAAGGCGATAGCGATAACAAGAGCTGTGCATTCATTCCACGCGAAACACATACAACACAATCCCTAACTAAAGCCCGCTCTGATCCACAGTTACGACGCAATCCGATCGGATTCGATCTGACCCGATGATCGCCCTACAGCAGTACTCTGGCAGTACTCGACCAATATACTTGAAGACGCGCCCGAGCTCTTATCGCTTCCCAATCCAAACGGTAACTGACGAGGCAGCAACGAAGACGAAGGCGACAACGACAGCGACGACCACGTTCCAGTGGCCGCTTCGTGCCGCCTTCCAGTGTTTGGGGTCTGAGTCTGAGTCGATTTGTATGGGTTCGGTTCTCGGCTTTGAGTGAGAATTTTTCGATGCTCGAAGAAGTGAGGCCAGAGATCGACAAGAATTGGATCAGCTGCTCGCTGGCGTTGCTTTTGGAGTGAAAGGGGAGCTACTCACCAAATTCCAGGTTCCAGAATCAAGGTGACCAGTTCGTTTGATGCGAATTTGTGGCCTGAAAAACGGAGAGAGTCCACTTGGAGCACGCAACTTAAGCCGATGTGAGTCGAGTACTCACCTGCCTGAAGGAGGGTCTGGATCACAGTGACCATGTCGCGGGATTCGCGTATGTAAAAGTCGTTGTCCTCCACCGATGTCGTGTTGAGCTCTGTTTCGGGAAGGAAAAGGATCGTTTAGAGAAGGGTGATGCAATCGATCGAGCCCCCGCCACTTACCATTCAGCATCTCTCCTATGGACTGGGGCACGGGCAGTGTGGGCGATTGCAACATCTTTTTGATGTCCTTGACGGGGACCAGGGCCCGCGACAGATCCCCGGACTTGTAGCGCAGGAACTCCTTGCGCAAGTCGCTGAACCGATTGTAGTATGCGGGCAGCTCCACGTCCTTGGCGCAGGCCTCGCGGTGCAGGCACTGCCTCAGCGGCAGCTGCCCATCCGTGATCAGCTGGATCTCCGTGTCGTGCAGCGACAGAGAGCGAAGGTAGGCATCGAACTGTGAGAGAGGGAGGCATATTCAGAGGGAGAATGTCAATGATATTCCCAAACAAGGGAGAGCACGGTGCAAGGTTCAGTGGCAAGGGAAATGCTCCCACATTCCAACCGACGAAAGGTGTCTCGGGTCACAGTTGCTGCCACACTTCTAGGCTGCGAATACGCCCCAATGCCATTTGCCTAAACCCGTTTAGTCGGCTCTGCTGACGGTGTCGCTATCGCTGCCGCTGCCGTCGCCATAGTTGCTGGCAATTATTGTCAATTAAACATGCAGCAGGCAGCGGTTTTCAGCCATGTCATCGTGAGTAAATATAACACGGCTTAATGTCGCATTACGATCCGGGGCAGGCCCCAAGGAATCGCCAGCCAGATCACATTGATCCAATCACAAAATCCACTGATAGCATGCACCTTGGATTACAGGGGTTCATTCGCATCTGCATACGACGCTGACTCTCGCATCTCCTCCATCTGCAACCACCAGCGACAGAGAGAGAGAGAGAAAGAGAGAGAAAGAGGCGGCTTTTATTGGCCCTATTGACTCAGCCAATTAGTATTCCAATCTCACAGCCCCTGCCCTTTTCACTGTCATTCTCTCAGTCAATGGCGTCACGAGACGAACGCGGATGCACTCCCAAGCTAAAAATTCCATGACCAGTGGGATTGATTCCAAGTCTAGATCTATGTATATGGAAAAGAGTCCGCCCAGCTAAGCGACCACATCTGATATTCCATATACTTATCCTAGCCTAGATTTAAGAAAACTCACAATGACTCTCTTTAATCAGATGTAATCGGAGGAAATGCAAGTGGAACCCTCAGTGAATCAGCCTCTGGTCAACATTTCGAAAGGCTGGGCCTCTCGCTGTTGCGTCCGTATCGAGATCTTTTATCTGAGTCGTCGAACAATAATGTAAATATGTATGTGTGCCTACCAGCTGGCAGATGTCTCTGGATGGAGGCTTGCCCCAGCGGATCAGATAAGTAGAAGATTACACAGAAGACCCAGGATTAGGGTGTTTGCTGTGACCTATCCGAGGCCCCAAAGGTTGCGTGGAATCGAAGAGTAAATGCAATGCCCCATGACGAGGCAATAAATGTGTTCCGTCCACTCATCGTGACTCTCTCTGGAATCGGAATCGGAATTCGAATCGGGTGCTTATCAGACACATCGATGCCTCCTCGTACACCACGCAACACCATTAATGTCATTCATCTTTGCCAAGAGCGTAACTTGATGCCCGATTGATAAGACTTGAGAGAGGGTTCAGAGTTCTGGAAGCCACTTCGAGGGTGGGTTCCTTAAATAGGCCTCTCCCTTCTTCCCTCTCTCTCTCTCTGTCCCTCTCTCTGTCTTCTCTGCATCTCCAGCGGTACGGTGTGGGGCAGGCCTAATCTTATCGGATTTGGTTGCCGGTTCCACCTGATAACACCAAATCCAAACACAATCCAAACAACCCGCACAACGTGCTCTGCCTCTGCCTCTCCTTCTACCTTGCCCCTCTCCAGGTGGTGGATCATGTGTACGTACCTCTTCGATGGCCTCGTTGAGCGGCTTGCCAGCTGACTGAGCCTCGGCGATTGGCAGAATCAGCTCGCTGCTGTTTTCCAGGATGCCGTTTGCCGAGCTGCTACCGTTGCCCGTTCCGCTGCCGATGCTGCTGGATGCGCTGCTGTTGGCATTGGCATTGCCAGTGCCATCGATGGCGCCTGTGCCGATGGACAGGGGCGGGGAGCAGGCCGTGTTGCTGGTGACGTTCGAGTTATCCGAGGAGCTCGAGATGGTGCGGTCCTTGATGAAGTAGCCATCGGGCCGGACGAGTATTTGTTTGGTGCCAACGATCTGTGGACGAAAGAGATGGATGGGAGCGGCATTAGTGAGGAGTATTTTGGGTGGCTCCCTAATCAAAGTAATTTCTGTGTAAGCATGACTGCTGTTCCCCCACTGTTATCAGGCGGAGCACGGGCACAACCGGCTCTTAGCCACAGTCACCCGCCCCCCAACAATGGTTGCTATCTCTAACATCCGATAGTGGGGTACACCTGCGAACCACTGCCAAGTTTCTGGATGTTTCTTGGCCGCAAATGTGCCCCGCACACCCCTAGGGGGCACCAAGATCAGTGCTTGCGTCAGCGGATATGCAAAGGAGACGATCCGAATCGGATTCGGAATAGAAATAGGCATCGGAATCGGAATGGGAATCAGAACGGAGCCAGCTGGCGGCCCTGCAGGTAGTTGGGCCCTATGCAAATTGGTGAAAAAGGGGGAACTAAACGTGTACTTTTCTTTGTTTTCCGATTTGCGTTCCATCGATTTGCATAGCCATTGAATGCCTGAACAAAAACGGAGGGAGGGAAGGATGGATACCTAGGACGGACCGGGACCCAGAGACAATGAAATATTTATGAGTGTCGGTCATGTTAAATTCATCGATGAGCCCTCCGCACCACACCTCACCACACCACACCACACCACACCACACACATTTGGTTTGGGGTTAAGCTCGCCCCTAATTATGCCGAATGGATGTCCCCGATCGCGATGCATGGATGTCCGATGGAGAATAGAGAACGTGGAATTGGAGTATCGAGAATGGGAATGGGAATGAGAAAGGGAAACCTTTCCATTAACCTTCTGGATCAGCAGAACGAAGTGATCTCTGGCCATGAATGAAATTATAGCTAAAGTCTCGCCAGAGCCAAGAGTTCCAATTGTTGGAGAAGTGGAGCCAGAGAGCAGAGATTCTCAATTCCCCGCACTGCTCTCCACACTCTGGCGACTGTTTGCAGTTTGTTTTCGAATGTTAATTAACTTTAATTGTTGGCATACGAGTCATAACCAGCCTGCAATTAACATGCCAATTACTGCGGCTGTGTGCTGTACGTGTGCAACGTATCAAATCAAGAAAATTGCTCTCCAACAAGAAATCTATAACAGAGAAATGCAATTGACATGGAATCGCCATCGCCTGAGATCGCTCTCGCAGCGAGTCTCCATTTTAGAAAGTGACTCTACCCTCTTAGTAGTTCTATATCGAACTGTTCAGTTATTATGTATAATATACCATTCCGTTTGGCAGTCCAGCAAGAGAGCCAGTCCAGGTCCGGCTCATTAGGCATTCTGTCGCAATTGCTGTCGAAATCAGAATCGGGAAGCATATTGGCCATTATCAGACGCGTCAGCAAATCTAATAATAATTTGCATGCGATTTCTATGTCTGGCCAAATCCGTTCGCCCTCTCGATGCCCGTCACGATGACGACGACGAAGGCGTTGCGGATGGTTGCCCGGACCCTGCTCGCGAATCAGTGGCCAAATGAAACACTTCAGTTATCAGTCCCAAATTGCTTCCGATATGTGCAGATAGATAGCAATCGGGACGTCGCGTCGCGTCGGATCCAGATCCAGCCCCACTTTCCACCAGACGTGCGTTACCGTTCATCCATCCGTTCACTATGTGCCTTACGAAATTTCCATAAATTTCGCGCAGACTGAATTTGGTATTCAAATTTTCTTAAGATATATTCCCAGTAAATTATATTTTATACAGAAGTCTGGTCTGGGGTCTGTATGGTCTCAGCTAGAGGCACCACCTCATTAAAGCGTAAAAGAGCTTGCCCATGGGTACAAGCGGGGGGAGGGATAGGAGGAATATGATATTGGAGAAATTCGAGCGAAACTTGACCCCATGACCTGTCCGAATATTAGCAAAAGAAAAATGAAATACTAATAATACTACTTATAACGTCTCTTCGAATGCCTTCCATCTCGGGGACTCACCGCAGAGATTAGCATAAAAATTGGCCCCAAAGTCGAATCGTTTTGCGAAAGCCGCTGGACACCAAAAAGCCAGAGCTAGAGCCACAGTCAGAGCCCAAGAGCGCAGCAATTAATTTATAAAGATACAAATTTGGCAGCCGCGTCAGCAACAAAAGCCGGTCAGCTGGACGGGGTCTAGACGCTCTGACACCCCGCACACAGGGCACAGAGTCAGGGCTTTCGGTTGGGTCCGACTTGGCCGGAGTTTGAAGTAATTGCAACCCACTCAATGCCACTGCCACCGATACTGTCTCCGACTCTGCCCCTGCCGCCATTAAATGCCACTTAAGAGGAGCAGAAGTTGGAGGAGAGGCTGCACTCGCTAAAAGGTTGCGTGCTCCGTCCGGCCAGACATAGAATCGAGACAATGTCAACCTCGTGTGCAGGCAAACATCAGGTAAATGCCCGTAAATAGCTTCAAGAGCTATTCCCTTTCCCGTGCCCCTCCCCCTAACCCATAACCCATATGTCGGAAAATGGCAAGCGATTTCCTTCAACGGCTCGAGAACGCGGTGCGAGACAACAACCTAATATCGGTGGGTACTTATATCTAGAGCCCGAACACGCAGCCTCCTCCGGCAATTGAGTGGACGCTACGTAACTCTGTCCAGCTCCGTCCAGCCCCCGAGACAGCAAAAAGCCAGCGACATCCAAGTTTGTGTGCAGTCAAGATTGTCGTCGAGTATTGGGCAAATAGAATTACGACTTGAAAACATCATTGAACCCATCGGGAAGGGAGGAAACTCTCGCAGGGAAAGCAGACGCTACTAATAGAGTGATTATTTTGGATTTGATTGCATTGGATTGGATTGGATGGGAGATGTCACTAACGACACTGGGATTCTCGAGACCTTTCCAACTCAATCTCAAGCCGAAAACCCAAACCCATTACATCATTTAAATTTTTTTTGATTTTCTGTGTACTTTCTTGGAAAACTTAGCTATGCAAATAGATTTTAATGGCTGGTGGGGGCCTCGAGTCGAGACGAGTCGGACTTGGGCGATAGTTTGTTCAGGGATTTCGTAATGCCGTGTGCCTCTGGTCTGGCGAGGGTCTGCGACAAGGTTGCATTGCCACCGACACCGCCTTCCCTCTGATGTTTAGAGATTTGTTTCCAAACAATTAGTGTCAAACGCTTGGCAAACTCAAAATATGCAAATATTCATATATAATGTCCATAATGTTTCCCTCTGCCTCCCCTTCATATGGAAGGGATATACTAAAACATAGTCGGTATATATATGTATACACCAAACAAATGGAACACTTCTACTCTAAAGGGCATAGAATACGCTTTTTTACTCATGAGAGAATCTCTCAATAATTATATGTATCTGTTGTTTCAGAGATCTGTGGATTAATGCACTAAAGGGTATTCCAGGCTTCGGCTACGTCTGTATCTTGCGCTTCCTCTTTGGTTTTTAATGGCGAATCAAAGGCAAGAGCTTTGTTTTCGGTGCTCTTGTAACATAATCGACAAGACACACACCCCAACCATACCACTCGACACCACGCCAAGCCACGCCACACAGTTGAAAGTGCAGTATGCTCTCATGAGAGATTGTATGTGCCAGTGTGTGTCAGTGTGTGTCGTTGTGTGAGTAGGCCAGTGGGCCGTTATCGCACAGCATTCATTAATTAAGGCGTAGACGAAAGCCCGAGCCCGACCCGAGCTCGAGCGAATGATCAACGCTCAAACAAAATGGTGGCCAGTAGGCGGCGCCAGAGAAGCTCCACCAGATAGATCAGAGAGGTTTGATGGCGCTATCCCCCAAGGGATAGGGGGAACAGGAAGGGGCAAGGCTTGAATAACTCACCTGACCCGTGGCGACCTCCAGCAGAACGAAGACGAGCAGTATGATCTCCTTCTCGTCCGATCCGAGTCCGGGTCCATTCTGGCCGCAGGTGGCGATGTACAGAGAGACAACGTGCTCGGGCACCTGCATCTTATGTTTCTCTCTCGCTGGAGCTGTAGCTGTAGCTGGAGCTGTTGTTGATGCTTATGCTTATGGGGATGATGCTTGATGATGGCTTAATTGTCTTTCAGGAGATCGATCTGGCTACTGATGCTGCTGCTGATGCGGCTGCTGCTTCTGATGATGATTATAATGATGATTTGGCCACATTCCAGCGTTCAATGCTTTGTTGTTTGGGGTTCCGTGTCTGTAGCGGACTTCGAGCACTCTCTTGCTGTGCTGGCTTAGCGGGACTGCATCTCACGGCTGCTTCTCGGCCATTGGCTGTGCCTGCGAATGGAATGGAAGAACGAGAGTGGGGATGATTGCACAATGCACTTGGACTTTAAGCGTATACCCGGCCACTGCCAATATAAAAACACTAATTACGAGTGCGTTCAAGAAATGTCAAACAACGCGAATTGGCTCGTACTAAAACATTTCCAACCCAACAAATCGAAACTTAACGAAACAAAAAACGGAAAAAACGGAAAATGAAGTGCGGAAAGCGAAAATTCAAAAAAGAAAGTCAAAGTCCGCCGATTCGTGAAACTTGGCAACGCTTGACACTTTGACACCTTGAATATGCAATTCAATCAGCTGTCCAGGTTTTCTGGTTTCCTTGTTCCTATGAATGGCGCTTTCAGCAACAGAATTGCAGCGTTGATGACGTTCACCTGCATTTGTGCTCGTAGTACGAGTACCTTCTAATACCGCTGCTGCTGCCACTGCCACTGCAATGCCATTGACGTCAAAAGGGTCAAATTGAAATTAAAGTATTAACCCGCAAGGCGATTTGAAATTTAATTTCGCTAGACGACAAAGTGGAAAGACTGCGAAAACGACAACGACGAAAAATTACAGTGCAATTTTATGAGCATTTTTAATGTGAAAAGTTTTACTTTTAATGAAAACAGAAACACACTCCAGAGCCCAAGCAACCAACCAAACGACGGACCTGACTGTCTCTCTGTATGTACGAGTATGTCCGTCTCACCGACTCACAGGCTGACTGACTGACTCGCTGACTTACTGGCAAAGTTCATCAAGATGGCGCTCATGGGTTAATCGGGGCGCGCAGGCGCTGTCGTTGATCGCTGCTCTGTCTTTAGTTTCTGTGTGGAGAGCACTTTATGATTACTCTTTGCTGCAATTAAATTTTAAAATAATGCATACGTGCAAAAGGCCAAGCTTTCGTAATTAAGCCAGAAGCAAAAGCACTTTCCGCGGGTCGGGCTGGGTCCGATCCGAGTCGGATCTGCGTACTATATAGCATATCGCTCGGCTCGGCTGGCTTTTATGTCCCACACTTGACTAATAACTCAAGCTGCTCAAGCAGATTTATCATCTCTCCCTCCTTCCCTATCCATCTCTCTCTCTCTCCCAGTTAGCCCTGGTCCCGCCTGGTCAAAAGCTCACTGGAGAGGGAGGATGGGGAGGCAGCGCATGCTTGGTTAACTCTTTTCACTCTCCGCTTCCTTCTTTCCAGCTTTGCTGCTTTTGGAGTGACCATCTCTTAATGAGCGATAGCGGTTGTGCTTTGTGCAATCTATGACGTTTGCTTTTTACTGTTTTACTGTCAGCTTTTTGCATCTCCGTCCCACCTTTGCCCCGGTCTTGCAGCAACTGGGAAATCTTCGTTCTCAATACACCATATGGGCGCCCGACGGGTTGGTTCCCACGTTTGGCAAACCCCAGATATGCCCTACAGAACTGTCTGAGAGGGCCCACACATGGGCTAGAGTTGCTAGCTATGACTTTAAACTAGTTTACTGGGCATTTCTGACAGCCAAAAACCCCCGTGTGCGATCCCTGGGGTCAGGTTCACGGAAATTGTCAGCATGTTGACCCCCGAGTCAGTGTCGCAATGGAAACTTTGCTTCAAAACCTTATGTTTCCTGTTCCGGACTGGCCCTTTGAGAGTATAAGCTGATAATCCCTAGAAAACTTGTTTATCTACCAATTCTTTTCGACACTTCTTTATCATAAGTCGTAGGATGGTCAGGGAAAACAAGACCCCGACCACGCCAGTACTGTTATATTTGAAAGTTTTCCCTTTCGTACTGCACTTGAGAAACCTGGGAATCTAAGCGCTCCCCTCTTGGACGTACGCTTTTCATTAATGAATAACGGTTCACGCGTTTGGGTCCAATTAAGATGGACCGCAAGAATGGGTCAGAAGACAATGGAACAGCGCTGGAGCCCTCATTAAAAGAAGAAACTCAAAATAACCGACTCTAACGCAAAATCAAACTAAACGGAGACGAACCCGAAGTCGAGGTGGAAGTCGAAGACCGGACCACGACTGGTGGCCGTTACGCTTTTGAAAGACAATACAATAAAGCTGGTGATTAAATATAAATTAGTGACAGGCGCAGCAGCAAAAGCAACAAGAGCAACGAAAACCAATGCAATTAATGAATTGTTGCCTGCTGATTGGTAAACCAGAAAGCGAGTAGATTTTACAACGTTTTTTCGGTCTTGCTTATTAAATTATGAATTGCGCAAGTTTTTCTGTTTTATGCACTGTTCCCGCTCGAAAATCTGATCGCCGCCTCTGGCCGTTGGGGCAACAGGAAACTAATGATTGCGCAAATTGTTGGCCAGAAATGCCAATTGCCAAAGTTATTTTGCCAGAAAAGAAAAAAGTAAATCGTTAGCTCAGGCAGCAACTGCTCTCCATCCCTCTCCCTCTCTTCGCTCTTATGCTCGCTCTCTCGCATGCAACAAGTGCAGCTTGTGGTTCTTGTTTCGCAGACGATGCGACTCTTAGATACCCTACTAAGCACTTAACCCACAGTAGAACTGCTCATGTCTGAAATTCATGAAGATATCTAATCAGGGCAATGATGTTAAAGTCGGGTCGTATCTTCTTGTTGAACTTTCTTATCTAATGACCGGACACTCACTGCAACTAATATGACGGTCTTTGTGGAGTAGGGTATCATAAACAAGTCTCAGCCTCTCTCTCTCTCTCTTTCTTTGCCTCCTGCTTCTTTACACACTTCTCTTTTCGTCGTCTTGGTCTTTGGTAACTGTAAATATGTTTTCACTTTGTTTGCGCATCCACCTTTGAGCGGGGCCGTTGTCTCTGTTCATTCACTCTTTTGTGATTATGCTCAGTAGATTTCTCACCTATGGCAGCAGAATCTTTTCTGAATCGGCTTCCTTGATGCAACAGGTTAGTGTGTGAATGATATCTTCTCTTGCTCTCTCCTAGATGTCCTCCCTTTGTAACAGCTTGTTCTCTCTCTCTCTCTCGAAGCGCGGCGATTTAACTGTTTTTTCTTTGCTTGTTTCTTTTCAACACGTTGTATACATATTGCACTTGTTGCCTTTTTTATAATTTTTGGTTTTTATTGCACTTTCTTTTCTCGCCAACACGCACACACATGTAAACCTGTGTGTGTGTAGCTGTGTGAATGTTATTTTAATATATTGTTAACACCCATGCCTTCACTGCTGTGGCGTCTAGTGGCTTTGACTAGAGACTAGTACACTTGCTTAGACCGCGATCTTAATACCAACATACGGATGAAGGGGAGACAGAGCGGTAATGGTACGAAGCGTTGACGCCGACATCGGCGTATACAAGCAAACAAAAAACAAGTCACTTTTTGCCTCCACTGCTGTTGCTTCTGCTTCTTCTTCTTCGCCTGTTACTACCACTTTTAGCTGTTGTCTTTTTTCTAGTTTTTGGCCGGAGCGAGAGAGGTGTGTGATTGAGTCTCTATATGTGTGCCTGCGTGCATGTGTGTCCAGCACTCCGACTTAGGCAACCGTCGCGTCCGTTTTGATCCAAGCTGAGAGACAGCACAGAATATTCAAATATAATTTTGTATGATTCTTTTTAAAAACATTTGTATTTTTAAGAATCTTGATGTTCCTGCGATTTGAACTAAACGAGCGACGAAGGAGCGCGCGCAACGAACCTGCCTCGACGAACATTCAAACGGTAATTCGCGCTCTTTTCCTAAACCAGAATATATATGGTATATATACGTGGCCACGACCACATACCTACTGGAGAGAGCGCACACTCACGAGAGCTTGCGCGTTTGACTCAGGTGTATGGAGAGCTGGTAGTGGTGGTGGGCATGCCAAGCCAGATTCCAGCACGCATATACTGCCCATGTACGACCCGACTGCTCTCTCCGAGTATGTTTGCCAATAGGCATGCATATGTATGCATGTACATATGTATGTATGTACCTTGAAGTTGGCTGGTGGCCCGTAAACAAACTCCGCAGAGAGACCAGAGAGTTGACAAAGCTCGGCTAGAACTGCATTTCGAAAAACGTTTTTTTGGCTTGGCTCAAGCTTCGAGCTGTGATTGCTACTACTCCTATGACCCATCCCCCCCTCCTCGTTGGTATTTTTCCCACGCTGCGCAAGACAGTTACGCTCAATGAGCGTGACACGCTCGCTCTCTTCGACTGTCATTCTCTCTCTCTCCCTCGAGAAGTTACCTGCGCCGAGTGCGCTCCGCTTCACTAATACCAACACCAGTAAGCGCACCAGTACGCATACACTTGTACTTTTCACGTTGTGTTTGTGCACCGCCGCTCTTCTTCTTCGCTTGCTCAACTACCAACAAAACTGCCTACGTACATACCTGTTTGTCTTTCGGGGGCAGCGCTGGAGGCTCAGATACATTATCAGCGGCAGTTGGCGGATTGAGATTCACTTTTGGCCATCGGTTAGCTCTTTTCTATATTTAAATATTAATCCACTACTTATTTATACGACTCTTTTTGTAGTTGGAGGAGCTGCTGCAGCAAGCAACAAGCGTCGACGGCGACCTAATGGCTAACACTTGAGGAATCCAAACGCGTTTTGGTCTAAACGGTAGGCAGAGAGCGACTGTAGATACAGAGAGGGAGAGAGAGAGAGAGAGAGAGGCGAGAGAGTGCATATGTGTGTGCGTGGGTCGCTTACCTGTGCGGTGGAGCTGGCCGCGTGACACGACTGAAAGCTACGATAAGTATCGACATACACCTGAAAGAACCAACACCCGCGGAATTACAGATTCCGTGTGTCAGGCTAAAATGTCGTGCCGCTGCGTGACAAGCTTTTAATGCATAAACTTTAAGAATATTACACAATATAAATATTTATGTATATAAAATGGCATACTGATGGGGGCTACGGAACGGAACGGATTCTCCGGAAGATTGGTTCTCTTCACAGAATAATCTCGTTCTTGAAACTGCGACTCAGCTCCTTGTGCGGCAGGACAATGCTGTTGAGCAGTATCTTCTCGGCGGGCACCTGTACGAAGCAGCCTTCAATGAGAAATGAGATAGAGTCAGACGGTCACAGACCACATTTCAGAGCACTCTTTCACTTGCCCAGTATCGTTATGGAGGGATTCAGCTTGCCCTCGTTGTTGAACAGCGGCGGATTCTCCATCTTTGCAAAGGGCTTGTTGGGGTCCGGGTCGCTGGGCGTGCCCTCAACGCGGGCCCAGGCTCCGATGGTAGAGCCCCGTCCAACAATCGAGTGAAGGATGAGCGTGTGGTCCTGGATTTGGGCCTGCTCGAGCACGATGGACTCTTTGATACGCACCCCAGGGCCGATGGTAACACCCGGACCAATGGCCACGTTCGGGCCCAGCTGCAAGGAATAAATAGAGCTGGTGAAGATGGAGATTCACAAATTGAGATAACCTTGCTACCCACCACCGCACTGTGGTGCACCGTGGCACTGGGATGCACGTAAACATCCGGCAGGACAGTGCAGATCAGGTTGCCGTCGCCTTCGCCGCGCTTCGAGCCCACGTTGGCCAGTCGTTCCGGATGCGTGCGCTTGTAGAGGCCCAGGTAGTGGCGATTGGCGTAGATGGCCGAGCCGGCCGTCTTCAGCTGGGACCACCAGTTGGGCACGGGCATGGCGAAGAGTTGGTTGGTGCCCGCCAGGGGAGTGAGCACCTCCTGCTCCCACTTGATGTGGCCCTGATCGCGTCCGTTTCCGTTGCCGTTCCCATTGCTGAAGACCGCGCAGCCGTACTCCTGTCCGTGGGCATGGAAGATTTGCGCCAGCTGGGTGAAAATGTCCATGGAACAGACGTAGACGCCGCAGTTGATGAAGGTGGACACATACGAGCTGGGCTTCTCCACGTAGTGTGAGACGGCTCCACTGGCGCGATCGAAGACGAGGCAGCCGTAGTGCAGGGACTGCTGGCGAGTCGCCTCCGTGCTCATGATTGTGACCAGAGCACTAGACGGACGCCGGGTGTGGAAGTCGTACAGTTCCTGCAGCGGAAAATCGGCGCACACGTCGCCATTCAGCACGAAGAAGGCCCTCGGATTGCCGGCCCGTATCTGATCGCGAAAGTGGTACATGCCACCCGCCGTTCCCAGCGATGTGAACTCCTGCAGGTACCTGCCAAATGGACACGTCAGTCGTCCTCCATCTCAACATGCCACGACTGTCGCCCTCACCTGATGTTAATGTTGCTGCTGCTGTACAGGGCCTGCATGTCGCCCACAAAAGCCTCCATCTGCGTCTGCGGATAGTAGCCAATGATGAGGATCTCCTTGAGCTCCGGCAACTGGACACAAGCTTCGATGTGATGGGCTATCAGGGGTCGACCGGCCAGCGGGAACAGCGGCTTGGGCGTGTCGAGCGACAGTGGCCGGAATCGCGTGCCCTTCTGCGGTCCCCCGATGAGAATAACCGCCTTCAGCATGATGTGGTGTGCGTGGGATGGTTGGGCAGCTTGTGACTAATAAGTTCACCAATTGATAATGATTCTTATATCTATTTGTGTTTACGTTGCAATAGGAAAAGTTATCTTCTCGGTCAGCTGATTGTGTATAGTACGCAGCCAGCCCGCTAGGTGGCGCAACAGGAACAGCTCTGTTTCAAGAACTGCAGCCTTGCAAGCAATGATCAATATTCTCAACGAATTAACGGTTTTACATACATATATATTATTTATTTGAAAACAAAAACCACTTTAACACTTGTCTTTAATACATATCTCAAAGCTGATTAAACGAAATGTAGGGGATTAGATTGGTGGCTGTAACTGCAATACTCCTATGGTTGCAAACAATGCCAAAGTGCTGCTTAACGCACCAGATCCTCAGGGTTGAACATGCCACGGGCACGCCTCAAAATCGAGTCCTTGCTGGCGTCGTACGGGTGGTCCTTCGATGGAATCTCCAGGACGGCTGGCACTGGCGAAGTGTGGGCATCGATGACATGGCGAATGAGCTCGGCGCAGTTCTGGTTGATCAAGATGATGTCGATGTCGTCGCGCTTCAGGAACCGCTTGAAGCAGTCTTCCAGCTCGCTCACGGGAGTGTTCTTGTCCACAACCATGAAATTGGGATGGCGATTTTTGTTTATCTCACCCACGCCCCCCAGCAGGAAACCCACGCAGGTGTCCTCATCGCCGATGACAGAGATCAGTTTGCCCTTGATTGCGGAGTGAAGAGCCATGTTGGTTGCTAGTTAACTTTAGTTGGGAGTTGCAAGTTGAAGAAAAACTTTTATTTTCTCGTTGAAAATGGTCGGTCGGTCAGCTGGTGGGTGTCTATCACATGACCCTTCTTCTTCTTCCTCTCGTGATGCTACATGACCGCTACACAGGGATGAAATTTTCGGAGAGCCACCTGGCGAAAAAACTGTTCAGAAGTTGGTGTTTTCTGGTATTAAGTGAAACCATTTTGCAATATATATCTGAAATCCCAAGTGCACAAAATTTTGTTGTCGAAATTGAGTTCCAGCACTAACTTAGTGGCTCCAGCTATATTTACGGTATAAAAAGCAATATTTACATATATATGTATATACATATGTATATTTCTTCAATCTGTTATGTTAAACTTTTTGGTAATCGCAACTCCGACTTGGATCTGCAAGGAGAATTACAAACAATAAAATTTTCCGTGGGGACTCAAGGTGTTCAAATTTTTAAGCGGAGACACACTTGGGTTAAGTTCGTGTCGACAACCCTGTTTAGGTCACACAACTTGACTTTGTACCATCATTTTTTGGTATTTTCTTTTTTTCCAGTCCGATGCACTAATGTAGAAAACGTGTAGAAATGCCATTTAGGGCCACGTCCCAGGCCACATCGAACACTAATTCGTGATCAGCATCGAATTCCTGATCGTTTGGCATCACAATCTCAATTTGTTAAAAAATGGCCGATTTCTCTAAAACGAATTTAAAAAAAAGTATGTAGTTAATTTGTAGCAAATGTGTAGTACGTGTGTAGTTACTATGTAACATCTGATTTTTGTCATCAAAAGACTATTTCTTTACTTGATTAAACATTATTTTATGCATAATCTTATAGAAATGAGTACTTAAAGTTAATGAATCTTGTAGAAAATTGGTTAATCTATCGTTGAAAATTATATGATCAGTACATAGGGGCCCAGTATTTAGTAAATCTTAATCCGAATATCAAAATCGGGGAAATGGATCTAGCAAACACTGATTTGGATGGGGTCCATCAGGGCTGCTGTCAAATGCCCAAATGGCACGCAGTACATTTTTTTGTAGTCAATAATTTTTGCATCAGCCATTTCATCGAATAAACGGTGCAAGTGGGGTGGAAGAAGATGGCAACGGTACCGGGAACAGCAACGGCGACTACTGCGGTCGAGCAGCTGGTAGCCCAGACCCTGCAGGCGGCCACAAACCCCAGTCACGAAATTGTGCAAAAGGCCGAAGCCCAACTAAGCGAGTGGGAGCAGCAGCCGGGCTTCTTTCCCACGATAGCCAGGCTTAGCATGAAGCTGCCCGGAAGCGCGCAGGGAAACGCTGCCGACGCGGAGGTTGCATTGAAGGTCCGCTGGATGGCAGCGGTTTATCTGAAGAACGGCATCGAGCGCTACTGGAGGCCAAACTCGCGACAGGAGTTGCCGGCCGAGCAGAAGCAGCAGATACGAGACGTGCTCCTGCAGCACTACGACGCGGAGGAAGTGCCCCAGGTGGCACTGCAGGTGGCCGTGCTGTTTGGGCGCCTCGCTCGCACCGACTACCCACGCTTCTGGCCCGACCTGCTGCCTGCGCTGATGAAGCAGTTGCAGGCGTGCAGCAGCGAAACGGACGCAGCACTGCAACAGAGAATCCTTCTAGTCCTGCACTACGTCATTAAAGCCCTTGCCTCTCGCCGCCTCATGGCCGAGCAGCGGGCCTTCGAGGAGCTGGGCAGCCAGATCTTCAGCTACTTGGCGTGGGACATCTGGGCCACGCTGACCGGCCGCTTCCTGCAGCAGGTGAAAAGCGGCGGCGAGGAGGCTCAGGCCCTCAGCGCCCTGCAGCGAGCCTATATTGTGATGCGATCCCTCAGGAAATTGATTGTTTACGGCTGCTCCAAGCCGTACAAGTCCACCGACCACATGAACTTCGTGGAGCAGCTCTTCCAGCGCCTGCGCCAGTGTCTGGAGTTGCGCTACGAGCTCCGCATGGGGCCGGATCCGGCCAGAGTCTCGCAACTGATAAGCGAGCTGGAGCGCTTCATCCTGAAGATGATGAAGGCGCTGAACGAACTAATGGACCGGCACTCCATCTCCTTTGCCCGATTTGTGCCTGTGGCCCTGGAGTTCAGCTTCCACTATGTGTTCCACGAGGGCACCGCCCTCATCTTTGACGCCGGCGACCGCATTAACTTTAGCAACTTTGCCATCCAGGCACTAAATATGCTCAAGGGCATAATGTTGAGCGGCAACGACAGCATCTGTGCCCCCGCAGCCACGGAGCTGGCGACTGGAGCCGCAGCTGGGTCCAGCCTGGAGGACGAACTGCTCGCCTCGGCTGCCCAGAGCAACGCCAAGTTCTTCACCGTGGAGCGGGTGACGTACATCTGCGAGAAGATCGTGACCCACTACTTCCTGCTTACCCAGCAGGAGCTGGAAGAATGGCAGCAGGACCCCGAGGGCTACGATCAGGACGACGGCGGCGGCGATGCCTGGAAATACGCATTGCGGCCCAGCGTAGAGACGCTCTACTTCACCTGCTTCACCCAGCACTCGACGGTGATGATAGGCGAGGTCCTGAAGTTCGTTCGCCGGGCCCAGCAGCTTCAGCTCTCACCGGAGTCCGACCTCAAGGCCATCCTGCTGAAGGACGCCATCTACAATGCAGTGGGTCAGGCGGCGTTCCATTTCTTCAACAAACTGGACTTTGGCTCCTGGCTGACCTCACAGCTGCTGGCTGAGCTGCGCATCGAAGCCCCCAACTTCCGAATCCTGCGGCGCCGCATCATCTGGATGGTGGGCCACTGGGTGGGCGTACAGCTCCCAAGGGAGCTGCGTCCGCTGGCCTACGAGGCGTGTCTTCACCTGCTGCGTCCCCAGGAGGATATGCCCACACGACTGGCCGCCGCCCGCACCCTGAACCTTCTCATAGACGATTTTGAGTTCATGCCAGAGGCCTTTCACCCGTACTTCTCGCCGCTGTTCGAGGCCTTGTTCTTGCTGCTGCACGAGGCCGGCGAGTGCGACACCAAGATCGTCGTCCTGGGCACTATGACGCTGCTGGTGGAGAAGATGAGCGAGTACATCGAGCCGCAGGCCCTTCAATTCATCGGCTACCTCCCCCTGCTGTGGCGCGAGAGCGAGGAGTACGACCTACTCCGCTGCGCCATCATCGGCACCTTGGAGCAGCTGGTTCGCACCATCCGCGATGTGCCCGAGCCCATGAAGCCCTTCCTCTACAGCGTCATCAGGCTGAGCACTGACCTCCAGGTGAGTAACCGAGGGATTCCTCGGCAGACTCTAATAAACGTGTTTTTGTAACGTGATTCCCCGTGATTCGGCAGCAACACTCGCACGTCTACCTCATCGAGGATGGGATCATGCTGTGGCTGGCTGTGATTGGCAATTCGACTGTCCTGACCCCCGAACTGCTGGCGCTGTGCGACCACCTACTGCCCATCATCGAGATGTCGTCGGAGAACCTACGCACTGTGCTTCAGCTCATCCACGCTTACATCCTGCTGGACGCTCAGGCCTACCTCAGTCGGTACGGCGAGGGGTTTGTGGGCTACTGCGTGCGTTCCTTCGAGGACATCCGCGTGGAGGGCATCATCGCCATGCTGCGGATTTTCGAGACCTGTCTCAAGACGGACGCGACGATGGGGCTGCGATTGGTGCGCCCCGCCCTGCCGTTTGTCTTCCAGCAGGTGTGCCTCAAGCAGGAGTACCCCATGACCATGGGCTGGTACCTGACCATTGTGGCCAGGACGCTGCTCATCGACCAAGCCGTGTTCATGTCGGTGGTGCAGCAACTGCCCCACACGGACGCCCTGGCCCGCATCCTGGACGTGTGGATCGAGATGTTCCCCATGGTGCCGGACACTCATGCCGAGAAGAGGAAGCTCTTCTGCCTGGCCTTCGCCTCGATCTTCGGAAACAACGACCTGCTGCTGGCCCGCCTGCCACACATCCTCCAGCTGGTGGACGAGACGCTCGGCGAGGTCATGGACAAGCAGTATGCGGCGGCGGAGGAGGGTGCCGCCAGGACCACGCCCCGCTACTACGACTCCCTGGTCATCCATGACGAGCACGAACTGGACGAGCTGCAGCAGCAGCTATGCACCGAAGACTTCCACTCGAAAGGCTATCCCGCCAAAACCTACCACGACGACCGCCACCGGCAGCTGGTGCTCAAGGACCCCGTCTACAAGATCCCCCTCACCGAATACCTCAAGTGGCAACTGCAGGCGCTACAGTCCCAGCTGGGTGTCACCCGCTACGAGCAGCTGCTGCGTGGCGTCGTCCCGGAGGTGCTTGAACGGATCACCATGTACATAGAGCAGACGGTGCCCAAGGCCTGCGTGGTGTGCGCTGGCGGGGGCGGTGGCGGCGGCGGTGAGGCCCCGGAAGAGGCTGAGCCGGTGGAGTCCGGCTGATGCTCTCTGCATCTCGAGCATTGCTGTGCTTCGAAAGCTTTTTACGCTAAGTTATTAATGTATTTTGTATTGAAATTATATATTTTTAATTGTTATCCATTTCCATGTCCCTGCTAAGGTCTAGTCCACGGCAGGACGTCGCTCCAGCTTGCCGCGCAGGAGGGTGCGGATAGTCTCGTCCTTCTGCTCGAGCTTGTGGCGTAGCTTGTTCAGCTCCTCGATGTTGCGGGCGTGCAGGCCTCGCAGTTGCGACTCCTTGTGCTTGACGAGCACCTCCAGGCGTCGCACTGCGTCGTAGGTGTCCCTCATCTCAGCCTGGCCCGCCTCCAGCTTTTGGGCCCACTGCAGGGCCATGCGAAGGCGGGCCTTCAGTCGGTCCCGAGAGTGTTTGGCCTTTTCCGTGCTGCGTACGAGGGCGGCGGCCCGCGTGCAGCTCGTCTTCAGCTGATCCTGAAGAGCAGAGCGCTCTCTGACGTGCTCCTGTTTCAGCTCCTCTAGCAGAGTCTTGCACTGATGCACTGCCTCCGTCTCGATTGGAGCCGCTGCTGCTGCGTTGGGGGCGGCTGTGCTCTTATGGGCTGCCAGTTCCGATTTGGTGCGGGCGTACGCCGCCTGCAGGTGGTCCATGTCCAGGAGGAGCGTCTGCATCCGCTGTTCGTAACAGTGCATCACCTCCACCAGCTTCTCCTTGGCCAGGTCGGTCTTGCGGGTCTGCGCCTCGGCCTTTGAGCGACAAACGCCCAGCTGGGCCTGTAGGCAGACCCGCTCCTCCCGCCAGCCACCCAGGTCACGACGAAGTTGCTCCTGCGACTGCAACTGGAGGGGAAATCAGCAGAGAGAAGTGTCAGTGGTCAGGTGAGCATCCTATGGATATGGGATACATGGCATATGGCATATATCACTCACCAGCTTTGTGTTATCCTCCAGGGCCCGCTTCAGCTCGCCCGTGAAGTGCTCGAACTCGGTGTTGTACTGCGCCAGGAGAGAGTCCTTGTCGCGTATGGACTCGTCGTAGGCCTGTAGCAGCGGGCCCAAGGTGTGCGTGGGTAGGGGCTGGCAGCCGGTGGAGTCAGAGGTGCACGCTGCCGCTGCCACTGCCGAGCCTGTAGAGTCCTTCTCGCCGGTCCTGCGCTGATCCTGGTAGCTCTCGATCTGCACATTCAGTCGGAAGACAAGGGTCTTCAGCATGTCCACGTCATTCGCCAGCGTCCTATTCTGTCCGAGAACGAAGCCCAGCTTCTGGTTTAGCTGCTGGCAGCGGACGCAATCGGTCACCTGCTGCTCCGCCTCCGCCAGACGGCTCTCCAGCTGGGAGCTGTCGATGCGCAGCCGCTCGTTCTCCTTGGCAAACTGTTCGTTGTACTTGTGCAGGGTGGAGAGGCGCTGCACCAGCTGCTCCAGCTGCTGGTCCTTGGCCTGCAACTGCATGGGATACGGGTATGAGGGCATGCCTGGTTGGGGTTTGGTTCGCTTACCAGTCCGTTGAGCGTGCGATCCCTCCGATCCTTCCTGCCGGCTGGTGCCACCTGCTGGCGCTGCTCCACTTCCACGCTCCTTGAGCGGCGACTGAAGTTTCCCGACAGTGTCTGCAGCGGTTTTCGATTCCTCTTTGGCTGTGTGGGCGGGCGTTCCTCCAGCGCCTCCTCCTGGTCGGTCTGGTCCAGATCCGTGATCATCACACTCCGAGAGCTCATTTCAGTGATTTTCTCATTCAAATCCTGACACTTCCTGCCCGGGCTCCTAACCTGCTGTGGCCGCGAAGTAAACAAATCCCAAACCAAGCCAACACACCTGTCCTGTGTCCTGGCGCCCGTTGCCATGGCGTACCGCCCCGTGTTTGACCCTGTTTCGCTGGTATAGCCACCCCCTGTTGCAGCAAGAGCGCACGCAGCGAGAGAGAGAGGGAGAAAAAACTGGAATTTTAACCCAAAGGGTAGGCCATCGACACTTTGCCGTAGACATACTTTCATTTACATATTTACAGATTTGCGCCTTTTAATATACTACGACTTATGGATAGAAATCTTTCCAATATTTGGCGAACTATTTCTTTCAATGTCGGACTTCCGAATTCTTCCTAGATATCGTGGGAGCAGGATCGTCGAGATCGTACAGCTTCACGACGCGCGCGATCCACGTGGCATGACTGACCACACCTGTGTAGACACTCGGGCCGACGCAGTTCCCGGTGGTGTAGCTGGCAATCCCGAACTGGACGAAGCGCCTCGCGCCTTGGTATTTCACTTTTCTGCCCAAGGGGCCGCCGGAGTCGCCGTTGCAGAGGTTTCCAGTCGGATGCCCGGCACAGAACTGATTCGCTGCAAGCGTTATTCCGAACTGGTCACGGCACACGCTCCGATCGTACCGGTTCAAGTTGATTGTCTGGAGAACGGGGCTGGTGTTGCCGCTTCTGGTCTTTCCCCAGCCAGTGCCAGTAAACCATGAAAGTCGCTCCGCCTGCTCGGCCATACCCGGATCCATGATCAGACAGATCGGTCGGATGTGGACTGGGAAAAAATAACAGGAAAATAAAGGAGCTCTGCTTGTAAAGGTTTGTTCTTGCTTACCTTTTAACTGGACCCTGCGCGCCAGTCGGAGCAGTGCAATGTCGTTGGACTGCGTCACTCTGTTGTACAGACTATTCTTGAATGTCATATCAACGTCATACTCTTCAGCTGGTGGAAGGCAGCCTTCTTTCGCTTCCCCTTCCGCGCAGTCATTTATTGTCAATCTGTTATGCTCGCCCAGGCGAACCTTTCTGTTCAGACATATGTAATTCTATATGTAAAGTACTCGCATTTTGAGCCATTCGAGAGGCTACTTACAGTACATAATCACTACCAATGCAATGCGCAGCTGTCAGCACGAACCCTGAGATGGAGCCGAACCCAAGTTATTCTAGCGAACAAAACTGCAATCAAGCTCACAAATACGAACAATGGTTGATGAGCGTCCCGGCACACACAAAGTCAGGAAACGTATGCAAATATGCCATCCAGGGACTCGAGGCTATTTCCGCATCAATGCCGTCAATGATTCTCGGCTTGAGCACATTTTCCGGTTCTGATGGTAGACCGCAGCTCTCGAATAGCATTTGTGCTGATCCCGGCTGGCACGGGATTAAGCAAGCGAATATTGAAATAGCCGCCACCAAGTTATTCATTGCAACTGAGAGAGTTACGGCACACTGATGTCTAGCCGGGGAGGAGCGTTCCTATTAATACCGAACAGGTTATCACTCCAGGTTATCACGGATCTCCCAGAAGACATACAGAGTGGGTTTCTCCCAATGATTTTTCTTGAGTAATAAGGTCGGGGTGCAATCACCAAATTCCAGGGACAATAAAATCTAGAGCTATGATGGAAAGGTTGCATTGCTGTTTTATTCCAATTCAATATATTAGTATCCAATTAATCATAATTTTGGGGTAGCCAAATATGGGAGTCAACCATTCAAAAGAATTGTAATTGGAACCAAGGGCAAGGGGCAGCAAAAATCATGGCCACAGAGATCAAATAGAATTTAGTGTGAAAATTTCGCCCTATGACCCCACTTCTTTGTTCGAATTTTGGTTACAACAACTTTTTTTAAGTTCAACTGAGAAGCCTAGCTAAAACATATAACTTTAAAGTTTTTTTTAATTTGTCTCAGATATCGTACTGTCTTATGACGCGCTGAATCCAAAATGTTTGCCGCAAATGTGGCAGCCGTAGGGCCTCAGGCCCATGTGCGTCCGAAGATGGTTTTTGTGGCCCTCTCGGACGTTGACGTGGATTCGAGGGCACTTGGGGCATCTCAGCAGCTGCAGGGCCATGTAGTGGATGGACACGTTGGAGCAGTGCGTGTATGGTACTCCGCACATGAAGCAATCAAACTTGCTCACGTCCATGCTCTTGTTGTGGCTATGGACCTCCTTGACGCCTTCTTGGGAGCAGGTAGACGCCGCCTGCTCAGCCTCAGGCTGCAATAGTTCATGGATTTCGAGGTGAACCACTGTCCACTCCTCGGGATTTGCCTCCACTGGTTGCTTCTCTTCTTCTGGCACCTCCATTAGGAATGGAGACATGTTGGTCCCACCTGAATGGCTCCCCGCCCCGTTGAAGGGCATCGATTTCACCATAATTATATCAGACTCCTCTTTATTCTCTGGCCAAGGTTCGGCTTCGTCAAGATGCTCTGCCATCTCCTCTCGCTCTTCCAAGATTATTGACTCGATCCATTCCGTTTCGGAGGCTTTCTCGGCGAACGAGCCCCAGTCCACGAAAGCCTCCTTTTTCGTGTTCATGCTTTCATTTTCAATACAAGTTGATATGTTTTTTGCTTGCAATTTGGCAATGAATGGGCAGCACTGTCAGGTAGGGGTGGGATGGGGTGGTACCTACGACAGTTTTGTGTTCCACGGTGTATTGTCAGAAGAGGTGAGTTCCCTATGGTTCTATGACATAAGACGTTGCTAACTGTGATGCGAAGAGGGACAAAATGCATAATTGGTGTTCGTAGACACAAAGGGCTAGCTCTGATTTTGCAGCTAGGCTGATAGCAAAGTCTAATGTCATAGCACCATTATCGAACAGATATTTTTGATCTGCCTATCGATACATATCGCGCATCTCCAAGATGTGGCAAGGTGCGTGAGCTAGACTGGGTGACCTAAAGGTAATGCAAAACAGATGACGTCTATCGGAGTTCCCGCAATTCTATCGCCCTTTAAATGAAATACATATTTTATTTCCTAAATCGTTTTGTTTTATTCTTCAACTTGTTTACTTACTAGGTATGTACTATAAACTTTAAATTAATTCATTTTGCGACAGTATGAGGTCAGAATTTGAAGTGTGTCAAGGAAAAAGCAATATATTCCGCACATGTGCTGCCTGCTTAGATAAGTAATAAATAAATAAATAAACACATTTGGACCACAGAGACATGGCTTACGGGAAAGTAAGGCTGCTCCATAGCCAAAGAGTTATTGGACGGCTAAAAATTCATTAGGCAGCAACTAGACATATTAATTGAACGACATTTTTATCCATAAATAGGTGGTCTGGTCTCTCCCCTGCATCAGGGGTGAGCCATTGGGAAGGTCGCACTTGCCGCAACCGGTTACTCTTTACAGCTTTTGCTAGTAGGTGAGCGCAGTCACGATCATTGCGACAATCCGGAAACGGACTGTGAACTGTAGATTACAATTTTGTTGCACTTAACCTACGCTTATTACGAGTAAAACTAAGTAATATTGGCTGCAAGGTGACGGGCCTGGTCGGGGCTACTGCATTGCGTGCCGCGGGTGAATGTAATGGGAGCCAGAGTCGTCGGTGTCCTGGTGGATGGCACTCATCAGGATCAGCAGGCTGCCAGCGACGAGAGCCCGTAAGATCAGGCCGACGGCGCGATGCTGGTGTGATCTGATCGAGGTGAACATTTTCAGAGTACTTCGCTGGTTCTACGGCGTTTTGTCACTAACTAACAATCTGTATCGGCACGCTCGGGCTGAGACTTAGAACGAGACTGAGTGCTGATGAATATTTGCGCCAAGTATTTATTGCATTGGGCAGTGTTCTCGTCGCATCGCGTCTCTCTGTGTTTTCCCCAAGGCGGTCAGCATGTCTCTGCTGGGGCTACTGTTCGAGATTGGGTAGATTCCCAGCCACGGGGGAAATGGTATTGCCCTGTTCGATCGGGGCCGCCGACGTCATCAATTGATTGGCAATGCATCGATAGCAGATGGACCTCTCAATAACAAAACAAACGAGGACCTGCAAAGCTCGTCGTCTCTATATACCCTTCCAGCGGATCCAATTGCTCTCGTGGATCTGCTGCTGTTTTGGAGTGGGTGAAGGTCGTTGGCCACTTCTTTGGGGTATAATGTGGTATAAATAAGGCGCAGTGTGTGCTTAATTTTGGCATCCATCAACACCTTCTACGTGCGGCGACTCCCAAAGTGCCCAAACAAAACCCGAAATGATGCGCATTTTTCGTGTAATGACAGAACGTTTGCTGCCGATGCTGTCATGCACTGAGAATGCCCTGATCTTCCTGCTATCACCTCGCCACCAATGTAGACAGACTAGACTGATTAGACGGGGCACAGGCTTGACTGTAGAAATCTGAAGCAAGCGAATCTTTTTGGTATGGCTCTTGCGGGAAGAGGGAGAGTGAATGAACTGCCGCTTACCGCACGTATCGCTGGAACTTTGGACTCCTCGACAGTTGGGTGCAGCGGCGCCAGAGACTTCTTGAGATGAGAATGGAGTGCCTGGCCCAGGCTAGCGGCAGATTTGGTTCAAGTCGCTGCAAGTGCGGCATGTTTCGGCAAGGTATCGACTCGAACTGAACACGAAAGGCTAGGACAGCCCAGTCCAGCCCTTTCTTCAGGTAGGTTTTGTTTCCGACAGGCCCTAAGCAGCTCTAGCTGCAGCTGCAGCCTTCTGTCCCGCGACAGCTGCCGTGTAGAGGGATGATCTTGGGTTAGGAGGCTCTAATCTGGTGGGAACTCGCAGAGCAAAGAGAACAAGGCCACTCTTGCAATCGTTTCGTCACAAAAGAGCGTGCGATGGATAGAGAGCGAGATTCTCTCTGAGAACCGCCATAATTAATTGTATCAATCGAATCCGCTGATACGCGTGTCATATGAGTACATATGCCAAAGTCGGCACTGATCGGTGCTCAGTCCGTACAGAGTTTTCGTGGAGAATGACGGGGCCACAGCTGCTGGGGATTTGCCTGTGTCTGGTGTTGCTGCTGCACATTGGAGTAGGAAGAGCCTGTCTGTCGATGCTGGAAGTGGGCTGCTGGTGGAACGGCGAACTCATGCTGCATCCCAATTCTTGCAGATCCCGCGTAGTGCTAAACCTTTGATGATAAGCCGGGCAGGTGCAAGTATTACAAATACTGTCCCGGCTTTATCGAACTTGTTAGGAAAATAAAGAGAAATTCACCGTTAACTGAGGTCGAGACGAGGATCAAGGATAGCGCAGGCTGCTCTTCCATAAAGGTAAGTCACAGCATGATTCGCTGTGGGATTCAACGGTTCAACGATTCAACGATCTGCGTATCGTAGACATTCGTCTGCTGCACAGAGCCCGAGAACGATACGGGACTGAAGCTGCTGCAGCAGTCTGAGGAGGTATGCGGCAAGTTCATGGGTCCCAAGGTGTTTGGCGGCAGCGAAATCAAGATGGGATCGAGGCCTTGGATGGCTCTGCTCAAGTTCAATACCAGACGGTTCGGCAGCCGGGAAAGGGACCAATTTCAGTCTGGTGGCACGCTCATCACGCCACGTAAGTGGAACTTTCTGCATTTCTGAAGAATGGATGAACCGATACTAACGCTCTGCCCGTACGAAAGGTTTCGTCCTGACCGCCGCTCACTGCCTGATCGATGGATTCCCGTAAGTAGGTTGGCGTGTGTGTCCACCCCATTTAATTCTGATATCTGAGCAGCGTGGCAGTGAGGCTTGGGGAGCACAATACAACCTCAGAGCAGGACTGCAAGATGCTGAGATCGGAGATATATTGCCAGCCGCCCTACGAGGACATAGGCATTGAGAATATCATTGTGCACGAGGGTTATTTAAGGTACACCCAAAATAATGACATAGCCCTCATCAGGCTGGTGAGGAACGTGGTGTTTACGGGTAAGTGCTTGACTCCCAGGGGAAATCGGATTTATCATGTGGTAGCGCGGGATCCTCTGGGGCAGATCACATCGCTCCCATATGCCTGCCCCTCTACGACGAGCTGAAAAGGAGAATGCTGGAGTCGCCAGTTATGCGAGTGACGGGCTGGGGCAGGCAGAAGGTTAATGGAACGAATTCCGATGTGCCCATGGAGGCTGATGTCCTCTCCTTGCCCCTCGCTAGCTGCACTGCTCTGCACCACAGAACCATCGCCGAGAACCAGATCTGCGCCAGCGCCTCCCTCCGGGACAGCTGCAAGGGCGACTCTGGGGCCCGTTGCTGTTCCCCCTTAACTACAAAGACAGCATCCAGCGCTTTGTGCAGATCGGAATCGTGAGCCACGGCCCCGAGGGCCCAGAGTCAGACAGCAGTCTACACGGACGTCAGCAAATTCATTCCCTGGATCACCCAGAAGGTGGCTGAGTAGCAGTGCCCAAATGTAGACCATTATATGAAATAAGCCTTGGATGTAAATCTGAGTGAATGTAAATAATTTAATTGACGATTAGTTGGACACCTAACACTTAACACCTGACACTAGAATTAAGCCGCCGCCGTCGGATCACGATCACTGATGGCCTCCACGATCTGGGTGAGGCGCTGGGCTCTCGTCAGCTTCCACGAAACACACGACAGGGAGGTGATGAAGAAGCCAATGCCTAGGCAGCCGATGGATACTTTAGGACTTTGGCAATGGACTGGGATGCGGCACTTACCCATTAGCAGTATGGCCTCGGAGGTCTCATCCTGCCAGGCCTTGGAGACGACGCAGAGCAGTATGAAGCCGCTTAGCAGGCAGAAGGAGCCGACGGCCACGGCCAAGGTGATCAGGATGATGACGGGATCGTTCAGCGTCCGGTAGGCGAACAGCGTGTGGCACAGAGATCGTTTGCGGGGCAGTGGCGACACATCCACATCTCCACTGCGGCGGAAGGGGCAGATTGCAGATTGTGGAATTAGTTGAAGACAGGGACAGCCGTGTGGAAACTGCGATACGAACCAGGCTTGGGCGTAGGTCGGAAGAATGGGAACACCTCTGCACTCCATCGCGCATGTCGATACACTGAAGGCCCTTCGTCCCCGTTCGACTGGGCTCCACTTTTGGGGTGGCGGCTGCCGCTGGCTGGCACTACTTTCTAATAATAACTCCGCCAGCTGACGATCGCAGACGCGTGTCTGCCGCTCTAAAATCGGAGTTGGAGTCGGAGTTGGGGTGGATGGGACTCGTCTATTTATAGCCGCAAAGGAAGTGCTGCGCTCTAACGGAACTAGACAGATGCCCAGTTCTCAGATCTTCTCCGGGCGTAAAAGCCACAATGGATGTGCATGTATCTATTTTTACCGTTCAATTGCGGAGAGTTCAATGCTCTCTTTATCGGGGGGGAACAGAAACAGACAATGGAAAACGTAACGAAACATAACGTAACGGAATGGCAGGGCATGGCGCAAGGCGGGTGGAGGGAGGTGGGTGGGTGGAAGGTGGTAGGAAGCCGCAGTCGGATTGTAATACAATAAATCAACTTCATTACTTTGCTGGCTCCGAGCGTGAGCTGGGGCCCTAACAAGTGCAAATCATTAACTTGATGCCTCAAAGTTCACGTTTCGCATGTGCCAAGGTAGCGTTGACAACCGCCACGCACAGCATCCATCCCCAGCACTCACATTCACATCTATGCTTAGGTATCCCCCCACTCACCACCCCACACGGACACAGTCTCTTTCGTAGTTATAGAAATATATGTACGATGTACTTCAACGTGGCGTGGCTGCTGCATTCAAGCGAAACGCAAATTATGCAAAATAACGACGTCAAAGTTTCAATATAATGAGAAGCCAGGACGGCAGGATGGTGGGATAGGCTACCCCCGGGTATGGGAGGGGTGGTTGAAATTTAGTCTGAAATTTCATCCCCAAGCAAAGGCCTGGATCGATCGGTGTGCACCAATGGATCTCGCCCATTGTGCGAGGGAGGCTTATCTGGGAGACAAAGACTGTTCCTATTTATAGGAACAGAGCTCTGATTATGCGGATTCATTCTACGGGCACTCGCGCTGCGCGTGAGACTTGGCCGGAAATTAACTTGTAGGTCGTCACCCATGCTCAGCCTTGGCAGACATAAAAGTCCAATCGAAGGCGTCGCCATAAACAATTATTAACTTTGTTGCACATTATTGCCACATGGGCGGTGTGGCGGGTGTGGGCTGTGGGGTGTGGGTGTGGGTGGGAGTCAGCCATATGGCGACAGGTCCTGTGCTCCTTGGGCTTGGGCGACAGCAGCGTGTTGTCGTCGCCTTGGTTACATTGTAAAACGTTTTATTGTCGCCGGCATCTGGCGACGATTTGTTGGCAACGCACCTCCATCAACCCCAGCCCTTGCCAGGCGCTGTCCTCACTCCTCACAGAATGCCTCCCCCTCACCCCGCAGCACACTGCGTGAGAGTTGAGTGCCAGCGGCACGACACGACGAGACCCACTCCTGACGACAACTGTTATGCTTATCGGATGCTTTGTGAATACGAATTCGAATGCGGATGCGGATTCCGATTCGGATTCGGATTCGGTCAACGTTGGCTGCTGGTCCTGGGGAACTGCGGCAAATTGCCGTTGGTTGTCGGGCTCAGGCGTGGCGGCGTAAATAACCGAGGACCGAGGTGCCAACTGCCTCAAAGCCAGTCACACAAAAGTTTGCCAACAACATTAGATAGAGGCCAGAGGGTGGGGTGGCTGCTGGATTTGGATCTGGATGTGGATGTGGGTGTGGGTCTGGGTCTAAGGCAATGGAAAAACTTCAGGGCCGATTACATTGGGGCAGCCAGGGTGAAATCTTATCGCCGCACAAGAACTCGTTTCGTTTTAGTGCCGCAATCAGCGCTGCTCACTTGCAACTTCCCCTGGCAGGACAAATATTTTACTTTTACTCTTTCGCTGCCCGCTACGCTCCGTGTCTTCTTTTTTTTCTTGGCTCCATTTCTGGCTCCATTCCTGGCTCCTTCTCCATCTACATCTCCATGTCCATCTCCGCCCCAATTTCCTCCTCCGCCTCTAAGCTCTCTAATGCGATGCGAAAGTGTGCCAAAGTCGCTGACAACGAAATCAAACACAGCGCCAGAGCCAGAGCCAGAACCAGAGAGCGGGCGAGCAAGTCCGGCAAAAGGCTGCAGAAAGTTAAAATTAAATTAGCGTTTTTTCAGACTCTGCTGGGTAGCAGGAGGACACGGACACGGAGACGGAGACGGACAGGGCTAGGGTCTGGCCATCCGAACCCAACCCATCCGTTTGGGTATCCTTGGGTCGATCCCTGGCTAACAGCCCTGAATGGCTAACAAGGTATTCGCCTCCTTGGGCCCGCTGTCTGTCACTGGCTGCTACTTAGCCAAATTAAAATTGCAGCGCCGAGCACTTTTTGCACCCTTTCTAGGAGTATTGCTCCCCGAGCTAAAGGCTCGGATGTTGGATTGGATGTTTGCTTTGGGATATCCTCCAGCTCGCGGGTGGTAGCCTGACCTTTGATCCTGGGATTCCGGTAGAGCATTTACACTTCGGTTTTCAGATGCCACGGATGCCTTTCCGTTTTATTTCGCAAATGCCGTGTTATCGTCCGGATTCGTGTCCGGGTCCGGGTCCGAGTCTGAGTCCGAGTCCGCGCTCAACTCCAGTCGAAAGGATAATGCGCGTAATTGTTGTCCATGCCCGGCAATTGGCATAAGGAATGGAGCGGAGCGGAGTGCTTATAGCCGACACCATTCGTATTTGCATGAAACACATTAAAAGTCGCCAGAGAAGCTCAGCGGCGGCAATTCAATTTCCGCCCGTGCCCGTACACACAATCTGGGATGCTTGAGCAAACCTCCGGATTATCGCTAATTCCGCACATACATATATCTCTGGCTTTTATATGCGTGTGCATTGAGTGATGTGTGCGATGGATGGATGGATGGATGGCAGTTTTGCTGGTTTGCTGGATGACTTCATCAGCCTCGCGGCTCTCAAATCGATTCCCACAAGCGTCAACTTTCGCTCTCTCTCTCTCTTTCTCTCTTTGGCACACACTCTCGACCCACATCCGCATCAGACACTGCCAATAGTGCAGCGATGGCTCCGTTGGCATCGTTGTGAGTGCGTGGTGGCAGGCCAGAACAAACATGCGAGTGCCGCGTCAAGTGGCGTCAAGTGCACATTATCCGAGATCGATGCCGCGAGGCAGAGCCTGGCATATGGCCACAGCTGCTCACTGGCTCTGAAGGATCGAGAGGCACTGTGTCCTCTAAACTAAACTTAAACAGACTCTGTCAGCAGCAGCAGGCAGCAGCAGCTTAAACTTTCATTAAAATCTGCCGTTTGTTTGAGCAACGTTAAAGCGCCGAACCGTGCTGGCTTCACTTCGCTTCACTTTGCCTGCAAAATTGGCATATAAGTGGCTTTTCGGATGTGTGTCTCTGCGTGTGTCTGTGTATCTCTGTGTGTGTCTGTGTGTGGGTCTGTCACATGACTAACAGGGAATATCAAAAATATTGCCATAAAATATGCCAGAACAAGCCCCGGAATATACCAGCAGCAATGCAGATGCAGATGCAGAGATACTCGTCGTACGAGCATCTCTCGGGTAGACAGCCAGAGCTTGGCATCTTGACTGACGCCGATTGACGCGAAAGGGGGCAGGGAGGCAACGAGTGCCTGGTGCCTGTGCCCAGAGACAAGGTAATGAAAAATATTTCCATATTGCAAATAAAGTCATCCTGTCTTCGTGGCAGCCCTAAACCTATTTCTTAACCCTTGTCCTAGTGGCAGCGCGGAGAGAGGAAGGTTCACCTGCTGGCATGCTCTGTGCTCTGGTTTTTGTTTTGGCAGCACGGCATCTTTCAATTTGCGACTCGAACGGGCGCAACGGCATCTCCAACCCTCCCATCGTCATGCCCCTGCTTCATGGGTCCAGGCCCGAAGTTTATGCAAATTCATTTCAGGGGCAACGCAGCAGCATTATCAACACGGTGATGTCTTGTTCTTGTTCTTGGGTTTGCGTTTGCGTTTACGTTTACGTTTTCGGCTACTTCATGATGATGATAATAATGATGATGATGCTGTTGCTGATACTGATGCTGATGGTTATGCTGATGAAGATGATGTCGTTGTGGTGCTGCACACAATTTGGCATATTGCCATGGACATGGGCACGGACACGGACACGGATACAAACACGGCTACGGAATCGGAGCATACTCGTAGTATGCATTGTTGCAGTTGTTGTCCGCAAGTGTCGGCATTTGTATTATTACAATTATTACGTTGATGTGCCTCCACCTGGCCTCCTGGCCTCCTGGCCATGGTCCTCGTGCTCTCCTCGTCCTCGTTCTTGTCCTGTTCGGTTCTGTTTGCATATTTGCGGTCAGTGTGCGGTGTCAGAGTCAGAGTCAGAGGTCGGAGTTTCCAGCTGCAGTCGCTGGAGTTTCGAGTACACTCCAGTTCGCTGCGTGCAGCATGTAGCATGTAGCATGCAGCGTGTGTGCACACGGCGTATACGCAATTAACCATATTGGTCAATATTATGCCAAGTTACGCGCAATTTCGCGGTCGCGACTTTCATTAGCTTTGACCAGTGGCCCAATATCCATCGAGGGCTCAAAGAGGTGCCAAAGGCAGCTCCCACTTCGCCTTTCTAAACACGCGGCTCTACAATATACATATGTACATATGTTTGTTTGTACTCGACTAATGGTAATTGTGGATCGGTGCTGGAGGGGCAGGGGTGCAGCTGTGGTGCTTGCATCAATGGGCCTGAGTTGTGTTTTTTTTTTCTTTTTTAATTAAGTTTTGAGTTGGCAAAGTTTTGCCTGGCTTAAACAATGGCCATCCACTTGAGACTTGTTTTCTTTGTTGCCTGCTGCCAGCTCGCCCACTTCCACTCCCACTCCCACACCCAATCCCTATTCCAGTCCTGCCCCACGCTCAAACACACTGCTTGCCACACTGCTGCATAACTTGATTAAATTTCACTCCTTCCCGGAGACGGCGACTGCGGCCATAAACCACGCTCGTTTAATTTCAATCCAAAGTCTAAGCAGTAACAAGAGCCAATTCAATAAAAAATTAAAAAAAGAAGAGAAGAAGGAGGAGGAGGGGGAGGAGGAGGAGCTCGACAGCCTTGGGGAAAGCGGATTGAAAGGGATGAAGCAATCACAGGAGAGCGGCAAATAAACTTGAAGAAAATTAAAAGTGGCAGCCAAGAGAAGCAGACGAAGCAAACTCAAGTTGCCATCCAACTTTGATGGAGAACAGAG